CTTCCATCACGTCTCGACCCCTAAGGCCACTCACAGCAAACAAAACCAAATGCATTGCAAACCAAGAGGTCCAACTACCAGTTGCAATGCTGCTACTGACTGTGTAATGCACAAAATTAAAAGACATGACAAAACCACTGTTACCTGAAGACACTCAATAGGAGGGAAAGAGGAAACAAACCTGCCTCTCCCAAACCTTGATTTCTAACCTTCACAGGACTGCATTTCCTCCCAGCTGTGGGGAGTTGCAGAGCTCAGTTCAGCTCTGGGAATGCCTGCTGCTAAAGCTCTTCAGCTGTCACACAAATGAATGAATCCTGTTGGCTGTGGTGTAAGCAAGACTATGAGCTTTTAAACTCAGACAGATCTGAACACAAACAGACACTCAGGTGCCATGGTAGCCCTCCTGATGAAAGCACAGGCCTCCATGAACTTTAAGAATAAGTCTGAGAATACTTTCCAAAGATTCAGCCTTTGACTGGATGTCTCTTCAGCATTTATCTTGCACTGCGGGCAGTGTTCTAAGCGAACTGCCAAACACGTCACAGAAAGCCTTCGCAGAAATCAGCAACAGTCCTTTCTGCTCCAACATCTTCATGACCAAATGTGAAGAACATCTTTTCGTTCAGAAATCAATTATATGAACGTTAACTTTACTATAGGCTCAAAACCCCCGGATGGATAAACTCCTCTTACTAACACCACATGGGATGCTCTTTCCAGCCCCCAGCAGAAGTTCACAGTGCAGGATAAGAACCACGTGCACTGACTTGAAGCTGTTCTTGAATCTGCCTACCTTTTTCACCCATCAACTTTTCAGACTGGCATTAACTAAAAGGTAACAAATGCTGACTTAAGGCAACACAACAATAGATGCAGAAGAAAGCAAAGCTCCAGCAGCAAAGAAAAAGTAACGCACACAAATTCTGCACATTGACTGTTACAAAGTGAAAACTGCGTAACAGAGATAAGCTTAAACAGGGCTGAAGCAAACTGATGTTTCCCACAGTGACAAAAACAAAAAAACCAAACCAGTATCTTTGTCAGATATTTAGCAGCACCACAAGTTAACTTCCATGTGAAGGTGACTCTGCAGTTTCTTTAGTTTTACCATTCCAGAATGAAAAGAGTAGCTCGAATTATGGTTAAACCTTCAAAATAAAGACTTCAAGGCTGAGGTACCAACATAACCATCAATCCTCTAACTTAAAACATGGATTATCTAGCATGCTTTCTCACCTTTCTGACAATTATATTCTATCTTCCCAACCACTTTTTGCTCCTCCCACAAATCTCTTTTTTTTGAGAAAAAGACTGATGCAAAGGGGAAGCTCAGAAGGAAAATAAGTATGTTTTATACACGAGTATGTGAACCATACCAAAGCACTCCACTGCCCAGCACTTTTCAAGTTAATTTTGAAAAGAAAAAAAACACCACATGACCGTTTCACAGAGGAAACAAACTATTAGATACCCGTTGTTTCAAGGAAAGCAAGCATTTTTGAGTCTTACTATTCCACTCCAAAGTCTTCCCACTCAGATCAAACCTTGAACTAATTTATTTGGTCAATTAGAAGTGTGAATTCCATGAAAAATTTCCTATGGAAGTTTTACATGCTGGATATTCTTGTAACAGATGGACACCCAAAGAGCTGGCAACTCCCACTGTGCTCCAACCCTCCGGCCCACTTTACGCTTAGGAATTACTGCGAGGACAACCACATTGACTGACAAAAGTGGTCCTATGAGTTACATGATTTACACTGACAAAAACTTCAGCACCCATCCTAAGGTACCAGTGTACATAAATGTCCCTATCTGACCCTTCCTCCAATACCCAAAGACTGTTTTTCATTTCTGAACAGTCTAACTACACTAATCTAATTAAGGTCAGCACAAATAGCAGTTGTGATCAAGTTCACAACTGCAATTGAAGTTGCTATTTGTTTGTTCTTTACAGTGAAAAGTGAACTAATACACTGCGAGAGCAACTCTCTTCAAAGCCCTACCTCCTCAGGTCATTAACATGACTCAAGTGACTACAACCAAGTGACTACCTGGAGACTGACTACCTGCCCCTGGTTAAACACAACAAATAGAAAAATGACAACAAAAATCAGTAGAAATTATTTTCCCTTATTTGTAACAGAACCTGACCTATGTTGCTGCATCACTTTTACCAATTCACATGCAGTTACCTTTTTCAAAGAATGTGTTGGGTTTGGGTTTTTTCTCCCATGGAATTTTTTCTATATGCCAATGACACTTTGTGGAGAAATTCTGAACTGCATTTAGGAAGAGGGCTAAAACTTGTTTGTGGGTTTAACTCTCACATATCCTCCCTTCATATCCTTCCACTGAAAACAGAGCGATGGTGCACTAAACCAGGCTTTGGTAGAAGCTTTCCTAAGGGAGGATCTAAGGGGGAAAAGCCAGATGGGTTGCTTACATAACCTACCTACATATACACACTTAGTACTCTACAGGTAGCATAAAGTCACCTTGTTAAAAAAACAGCAGGAGGAAAGAAAACAGAATCACACAGAACAGCCTTCAATTGCTTTGAGACATGTTAAGAACTGTATCTGGTAGCTTTATCTTGCAGTTAGCCTTTTATAAAATTATCCAATGCATGTACTTACATATGAGTATATTACAATAACTTCAAGTATTTTTTCTCCTTGTTAGAAAGGGAAAAAAAAACAAACCAACAAATGCAATATACGATCCTACTCTAGTTTAAACTAATGGCAAAATCCCTAATGATTCTGAGAGATACAAAATAAGCCCATGAATGCTGCCAAAAGCATCACACATTAGCACGATTATGACTTACCTAATAATAAATGAATAAATAAATAAGGGGGAAGATGGAAAACCTTTTTAAGTTGTAAAAGTTCCAAGACCAATGCTCTATTCTTCTTAAAAGAAACTTGGGAAAGCTCAGTGTGAAGTGTTGATGAAGTTTCCCTCTCAGTTTCACTCGACAAAATTAGCTCAACTATTAAGAATGGCTTTTAAAATTCCCATCGCGTACATCATTCTTGAGCAAGATATCCAACACAAACATAAAAGACAGCAAAACAACTCTGAGAAATACATTTATTGATTTAAAAAAAAAAAAAATCAACTAAATAAAAGACGAAACCGTGAAAGATTGCTTTGTACATAATGTTTTACTTTACATTTTAAAATCTTAGTTAATGAGTTGCAAATCCCATTGCATACTTAAAATACTCAAAATCCTCCACTATTTTTGACAGCTAAAAGACATGAGGCCTAAAAATGATTAGCACTGTCCAACAAGTGACAGTTCAGTGTCTCAGGATCAGATGAAAGTTTGAGAATTACTAAAAAAAAAAAGTAACAAAGACAACAACAGAAATAAACAAGTACATAAAATGGAAGCTTCCTTATTCTGTTCTTTTAAAGAAGCATTATTACACAGTAAATTATTTCCTGGGTACAAACTACATCACCTTCATTCTATACAGCCCATTCCTGCAGCTCCGCCGCTGCTCTGCAAGTTTGCAACAATACTTACTTGTCTTTGCAGTAACAAATGACGCAGTTGCTCTTATACTTTTCGTAGCTGGTTTCAAAACCCAAGCAGAAAATTACTGCAGAACTAAAAAACAGCATTGCCACTAAAGGTATGGAAAGAAGACAGAGAAAAAAAAAAGCCTGCCTTATTAGATCTACCTGTGGCTAACTGAATCATTGCCTTTCACATGGAACGTAAAGCTTTTTTAGCTAGTAACGTGAGGGACTCCATAACGTCTGTCTCCATCGGTACTGATGCAGAATTGGAGCTCTAGTCTCCTTTTATGTGATGTATTAGTAGTGAAAAAGCTATGAAAACCCATCCTTAAAATTGAGACATTACTCCTTACGTACACAAAATTAACTCCAAGAGCAGCGAATCAAATGATTATAAAAACATTCACTAAACGTTCAAATAAAAATGGGTGCAACATATTCACGTACAAGTGAAAATGTTTCTTTGTTATCGACTGGGAACTCTGCATGTTACATCAAGAAGAGATCAGATAAGTTTTGCAAAAGAGGAATTATGTAACGTACAATATGGTCACATCACCTCTAATTCCAAGGAAACGTTCTTGTTAAACACACAGGGAGGGAAGGGAGGAGTTTTTCCCTCCCATTTTTTTTTAATGGAATATGTGAAGTTTACAGCTGACAGCTGAGAAAGAGGCTCTTTTAAGACATAGTACATTCACCGATCAGGTTTACAACTCAATCCAAGAGTACATCCAGTCAAAAATCAGGCACTGTAAGAGGACAAAGCTTAAAAAAGAAGGTTAATTGAAAAGCAAATATTAAGGAGATATTCAAACACGATCTGATATCTCTACAAGCTGCTCTTCGCAGGCTTTGCCCACCATTACAACCAGCATCACCCACCTGTTTGTTTACTCGTTCTTGGAAGTAGGAATAAGGCAAACAAGCAGCATGAGGAAGCAGTACACAGAAGACATTGAGCAGGCCCCACAATAACCGCTGACCACCGCACTTCAGAATAAGAGGTCGAAGTCAAACGTCACCTCTTTTCGCAGGCAGGAGGAGAGGCAACAAGCAGCGAGGGCATATTCTTTCTACACAGACACGCTGTGGTACGGAACGGGGAGGGGAGAGTCCTTCCGTCATTACAACACGCGGAGCCGGCGCCGCCGCGAGGAGGGCACAGCCGGGCCGGCACCCATCGTCGGGCACGGCCTCCGCCCAAACCGCCCCGCACCGCCTGCCCTGCGCGGCTGGGGGAGCGAGGCGGAGCTGAGAGCTTTCGGGACGCGACGCGGAGCTCCCCGAGTTCAGGGGGACGTCGCATCGGCGCGGCCCGAGAGCCCAGGGCACGTGTTGTGACGGGGAAATAAAGGAACGGAGGAGCGGCTCGCGATCCTCCCACAGAGCCCCGAGGCACCGAAACGGGCGGACAGAGAAAGCGGAGCGAGCCCCCGGCCCCGCGGGCCGCCGTTTACCTGGAAGTCGGCCAGGATCATCTCTCTGTCCATGTTGGACGCCATGGCGGCCGGCGGCGGCCCCGGCTCCGCTCTGCCCCGCGCAGCGAGAGCTGTGCCGGCGGGAGCTACGGGCTCATGGAGGCGGCGGGCCGGGCCCGGACGGAGAAGAGCAGCAGGCGGAGGAGGAGAAGGAAGAGGAGCAGGAGGAGGAGGGCCGGGAGGCGGCGGGGCGGGCGGGAGCCGGGGCCGAGCAGCGCTGCCTAGCTCAGCGGCCGGCCCGGGAAAGAGGAGAAGGAGGAGGCAGCGCCGCTCCCTCCCCGCCCGCACGGCGCCTGTCGCACATTTTGCCTGTCATCGAGGTCGCAAAGAGGCGCTTTGCGGCCGCCACGTGACTGCCTCCTGTCAAGCGCTCGCGGAGCGGAGGAGGAGGGAGCGGGGGAGGCGGTGCCTTTCTGGCGCTGACCGCGCGTTCCCGCTGAAAGAGGGAGCGCGCGCCGCGCTCGCGCCTCCTTCCCGCCCAGCGCGCCTGAGAGAGCGTGAGGCCGCCCCGCCCCGCGCCTAGGCCCGGCCTGAGGGGCGCCCCGCCTCGCCGCGGGGCTCCTGGGGGGAGCCGTCTCCTCAGGGCTGCCCCCCCCCCCCCCGAGGCCGGCTGAGGGCGGCCCCGCGGCCCGGGGAACGGCCTAACGAGAAATAACGGCGGGCGTCCAACGGCGTCGCCGGCAGCCCGCGCTCGCCCCGGCGCCGCGAGAGGCGGCTGCGCGGCGTAGCGCGGCCGAATCCCGGTTTTCCCGTCTGCCCTCACAGCCCGGTGCCCTCACAGCCCCGCGTCAAGCACGAACGCTGCGCTCCGCGATCGCTGCGGCCGGCGCGTCGTGCCCGCCGTCTCTCGGGTCACGGGCGGGCCGAGCGCCCTGCTCGCGGTGACCGCCCGTGGAGCTCCGTCACGCCATCTCGGAACCGAGCTCCTTCCCCAGCTCTAGGAAAGAGAATCCTTTATTGTTTTTTCTATTCGCGTCGGCGGGAGCCGCTGCCCGACGAGTTTTCATATTCTGCTCGATGGCAAATAGCAGAGCGAAGAGCGGGGAAGGAGAGCGGCCGCGGGTCCTGTCTGTGTAGGGGGAGAGCGAGGGAACCAGCGCAGTGGGACGGCAGGGCTGCGAGCCGCCCCGGGAGCGCCGCTGGGCGCCTTCGGGACGCGTCCGGTGCTCCTCGTTGGCTGCAAAACTACGCAGAGCTTCGAGGTGGATGCAAGCCGTGCTAAAACACCACTCGGGATGGAAAGACAGGGGGTCAGAAAAGCTGGCCCCGAGAAAATAAAAGTTAGATGTTACATTTTACCTGCTTTAGTTTAAGCTGGCGAGGCTTCCCGAGAGGTTTCTTACTGTTCTTACGGCTCACAGCCGTTCGACTAGCGCTGCCCTCACGGCGCTGCCGTCGGTACCGGGAGTGATGCGGTGCCCGTGGCAGACCGGGCTGAGCTACAAACAAATCCACCCCCGCATTACTAGAGAGTAACTGTAACGAGGGCTGAAAGACGAGGTTTGGAAACTGGACCGGAGCCAGTTCATTCCTGGCACCGATTTGTGTTCTAGGTGTGCTGTCAAGATAAGTTACGCCGTGTTCACGTCTATCACAGGATTATTTTAAATAATGATATCTTCGCTGGATCAAGACGGGAAGGATTTGATCCAGAATGTGAAGGAGAGGCGAGCGGCCCAACGTGCCCCGGCTGGGGAAGCTCAGGTGAGATTCACAGCGAAGCCTTCCATTCTCGCAGCTCCACACTCCGAGGTGCCCTCGGACAGCGCCGCAGAACACGGCTGGCTCTGTCCCTGCAGCCCTCCGGAGGGGGTTTTGCTGCCCATCGGGACAATTCCCTCTATCTGACGGTATCGTTACCACCGCCGAAAGGAAATGATTGCGATGGGGACACTTCTTTCTGGGAAGATTGTTGGATGGATGTCTGCCCGCTTGTTGTGGCCAGGCAGTGTCACTTGCAGGAGGCCTGCAACATCCCCGCCGTACTTCATTATTTTTGCTGTGTGATGTGATTAACAGAACACAGGGGCTTGCTTTGTAGCTGTAAAAGCAAGTAGTGGGGGGCTGCTGCAAGGCCCCGAGTCCTGTTCTGCAGCACATCTGCACAGCGAACAGCACCAAACCCGGGGATCTGGGGCACTGATCAGTCACGAAATTGGTCTTATTGAAGTCGCCTGACACCAAATCCGAAGAGCTGCATGTTATTTCATTTTCATGCAGAAAAGTGACTGGACTTGAATATACAGGTGTCGTATATATATAGCCACGTATCTCTAGAGTTATCTCTGAGGGAAATTACAGTTCATACTTCTGTTAACAGTGTTGCCTGCGCTGTTGCTTCTGACAGAGAACTGTCATAGCAAGGCCCTTAAATACATTTTCTTTTCCCCTCGTTTCGTGGCTGTGGACATCCGACAGCCGGAGCACGGCGTTTTCCTGCTTCAAGCGTGCTCACCTCACTGCCTTTCGCCTTTCTGCACTCACGAACGAGGGGCGGTTGGGGGATCCCAGCAGAAAAGCCGCACAGCCGGGCTGTAAGAGAGAGGCAGCGATCGCCGCGCGCCCTCCCGACACCTCGGGGCCGACCGTGTCTCCTATCGGAGGCGCCGGCCGTCCCCGCCGGGGTGCCGCGGTGCGCCCGGCAGCTCCCCGGTGCAGATCGTCTCCGGGCCGCCTCCCGCGCGGGGCCGTTCCAGCCAACGTCTCCGCGGTGAGAAGAGGCGGGCGGGGTGCTGACGGACCCCGCCACAGGGAGCCGCGGCGTTGCTCCTTACCTCCCGCGGGGCTCTTTTGGGCGGAATTCAGCCTCCCCATGCTTCCTGAAACGTAAAGCAACGAGAGCAGCGTAGGGCACGGAGCGCCGCTGTCAGAAGGGCGCTGCCATCTCCACGCTGCGCCGCCGCCGCTCCGCGGCCCTCTTGCGGGAAGAGAGAATCCCTCGCGTCTTCTCGGCGCCCGTTCCCCCCCAAAATGGTACTTTCGAATCCATCGCGAGCGGCGGAAAGTCGAAAAGCCGACGCTGTGCGCCGCCTCCCGCAGTGCCGGGACGGCTTCTCCCCGGCCACGGGTCGCTCCCCGGGCAGGTGCCCGCAGCCGCCGGGCACGGCGTCCACAGAACTCAAACGGCCGATAAACGCCTTCTTTTTATTTTTATTTTTCCTTTTCCCTTTCCCTTTTCCCTCCCCCTGTCCCGGCCGCGCGATGGCCGCGGGGAGCGGCGGGGCCGTAGGGGCGGGGCGGGCGCTGCAGGCCTTCCTGCCGGCCGAGCTGCAACTCCGCCGCGCCTCCTTAAATCTCTGCCGTTAAAATGTGGGCGGGTGTTTCAACTCAAAAAGCGCTCAAATTTTTTTTCTTTTCAAAAAAAGCTGATGAGGTTAAAAAAAAAAAAAAAAAAAAAAAAAAAAAAAGGAGTGGGGGGGGTTGGAAGAGAGAGAGAGGGAGAGAGAGAAACCGGCTTCGTGTCCGTAGGAAACAGAAGTAGCGATTGTTTGCTCTTAAAAAAAGGGAGAGCGCGGAGCCGCGGGAGGAGGCAGCGCTCTGCGGAGCGGCAAGTGCAGCGTTCTGCGGAGCGGACGGAGCAGCGCGGCGCAGCGCAGCGCGGCTGTCATCGGCGGCGGCACCCCGGGCCGGGCGCTGCACCCGCGGCTCCTCCGACTCCGGCCCGGACGGCGGCGGCGGCACCGAGCGCGGCGGGGCCCCGGCTCCCCGTGGATACGGCACGAGCCCGCCCCGCCGCCCCGCCGCCCGCCGCCCCGCCGCCCCGCTGGATGCCCCGCGGCCGCCGCCGCCCAGGGCGGCCCCCGCCGGCCCGGATCGCGGAGCCGCGGAGAGGCCGAGGGAGTGAGGCCGCCGCCGGCAGAGAGAGCGCCGAGGGAGGCAGCGAGATCCGGGTGCGTCTCGCCCCGCGCCTTCTGCCCGGCCCGGAGTGGGGCATGCGGCGGGCGGACCCCCAAAGTGAAGACTTTGCCTCGGAGCTGCGGCTGCTGGGGCTCAGATGCCGACTGTGAGCAGGGTGGGTTGTCCTCTTCCAGGATCTCAGGTTTGAGTGAGTCTCCGGTGTACGTACGTGTATATATGTTACGTGTAACATATATCGTATATCGCATAGCTCTTAATATATTTCCCCTCGCAACCGGCCAAAGGCTTTAATATGAGTTCCTCTCTATGTGGAAGCAAAGAAATCTTCTTTCAAGCGGAGCTACAGTTTTGCTGAATAATCACGTGTGAGTTAGGGGCGGGCTCTTGGCAAGGAGTTTCTTTACGAGTATTTACTACAAGGTCTACTCCAGAAGATTAACCATCCCAATCCTTCTGTCAGTCTCCGATGCCATGCCTGGTTAAAAAAAAATCTCATCTTTTTCTGATCGTCAGTCACCCTAAAGAATGGCCGAGCCTTCTGGGAACGAGCTGGCGTCCGCGGCTGCCAAGGGGGACCTAGTGCAACTCACTAATTTGTTGCAAAAGAATGTAAACGTCAATGCACAAAATGGATTTGGGAGGACTGCGCTGCAGGTTGGTATCCAGAGAGGGAGAAAATATTTCATCACTGCTACCTACGTGACCCGGGTTGCCAAAAAGACAACGCTTTGAGCAGGCTGGTGCAGAAATGCGAGGGCTTTTTCAACGAGTTGGATGCCATATTTTATAACTTTAGTGGCTCCAGCTCCCTAAAATGACGTACTTGAAATAAAAGTGCTCAGAAGCAGTGGTTCAGCCGGGGGTCACCCTCGGTGGCGGACGGGCTGAGAGTTGGGTGCGATTTGGGAACTCGGAGGGGAGGAAGCAGAGAATGAAATAGAGGAGACGAAAAGAAATCACCGTAGGTGAGCAGGGCTCAGGGCAGGTCTGTAAACACCGATGTGCTATGGTTTGGAGCTGCACTTCTCGGTTCTCTTCCCCCCCCCTCCTCCCCCCAACTTTCCCTCTTAAAATGTGCCTTGTCCGGGTGCTGGGCTCTGCCGCGATGGTACTTTTCCTTTATGCGCTGTTTGTGCCGAATGACCTTTCTCGTTCGGAGGCTGCACAGCACCGAGCACCTTCGATGCGCGCTCAGAGCCGCGGAGCGGCACCCCGAGCCCCGCCACCGGCGCTCCATTCATCATTAGAGCTGAAAATTGCCCTTTATCGTCTCGGTGGCGGGGCGGGGGTTCGGCTCTTTCGTTTCTGACCGTCCGTGGGGTGCCGTGTCCTCGTTTTTCAGCGTGGAGCCGCACAGGCAGCATTTGGAGCTCATCCAACTGCGAACTGTTGCAGCTGACGAAAGATTTTGCTTTTTATAATATCAGATAATGATGGCGAGGAGGGTCGAATCCGTACGGGATAGCGAAAGGAACGGTTTATAGATGAGAAGAAAGTGTGTGGTTATTAGTGCCGAAGGTGAAACAGAGGGACGTGGAAGCAGAGCTCCGGGGCTTATTAATTTCACACGTTAGAAAAATCGTTTGTTAACTCTTCTCCCCCCTCCTCGAAACCACGAGAATCATTTCTGAAATGTACTTTGTAAAAAGCAGAGTGCTTGCGGATGAACTCGAGATATTTACAGCTTTTTTTTTCTTTCTTTTTTTTTTTTTTTTTCTCCCCTGACTTGACATCGACATGTTGCATTTCGAAAATGAGCACCTCTCGCTGACAAGCGGGGGTGGCTCTGGGGGGGCACACGAGCGGAGCCCGAGGGCTGTACGATTTTTTGGAGGCTGTTTTCACCCAAATCGGGCGCCGGGTGACCGTGCGGGCACTCGGGGCAACTTTTAAGAGAGCGAAAGGCTGGAAACCGGACGCTTAGAGCAAAAACTTTGTCAGGGAGAAAGAAACTTGCAGCTCGGGGCTTCATCCTCGGGACGAGGGCTGGAAGCCGATTTGCAGAGAGGCGATGTATTTGCTGAGAGCTGCCCGTGCCCTCCGTGGGGCCGCTTGGCACAGGGGCGCAGCAGCCGCTGCCCGGCCCCGCTCTGCGCCGCGACCCTCGGTCCTCATGGAGCAGAGGGGCACAGCCGGGGCACAGCAGGAGGGGCCGGCCGCTGCTTTCTGTACCCGAGGTGGGCTGCGGGTGCGTGGCTGCCCTCGGAACAGCTCTGTCAATGCAGCCTCCCAAATCTAGACAGTCTCTCAATAATCGCTCAATAATTTCTCAGTGTTCTCTCAATAACCTCTCAATAAAAACGGAGAGGTTGCCTAAATATTAATATTTGTGGATATATATGTGTGCCCCTGAATTTCTGTTTAATTCAGCAGCTGCTCGGCTCCTCTTCCTCTCTGCTTTTTGTTTCAGACGAGGTGCTTTCTGCAGGCCTCACTGCCCGTCCTGCCCCGATCCTCCCTGCCACAGCTACGGGCTGTTGCCTCTCCTTAGGGGAGCCGGGCAGAACGGAGCTGTGCACCCCCCCCCCCCGGCTCCATCCCCTCTGTTAGCATTTTCTCCCCCCCGCATGTGGCAATGCAGCCTCACTCCCCGAGCCTGCCTTCCTCGAGCCTATTAACTCCCACTTCAACCGAATAAACTTTTTAAATCCACGAAAAATGCACCCCGAGCCCTCCAAAAATACTCCCTAAGACATCCCAATAATTTTCCCAACACAAAGGAGGGCTCGCATTGCTCCTATTTTCCCTCCCACTCCTGCTCAGAAGTGAAAGAGCAGTGTGTTCAGAGCTGTGCTTCCCCGAGCCTCTGCTCCCTGCACCCACTCTGCCCTGCACCACATCGGGGAAGGAATGAGGTTTATTAATTAGAAGAATCATTAGATGAACTTTAATATTTTTTGTATGGCCTTAAAAAGCCAAATGCATATTTTTTCACTAGGAGACTTTGGAGGCAAATGCTTTGTGTAAATTCTGCTCAATTATTTCGCATCTAACGCACTGTAACATTAATTTATGCTGATAATTTTTTTTTTCACAAGGTTTTCACATCAGTTGTAAGGAAACTCAGGGGGAATTTTGCTCGGATTTGACACTCACAGTGTGGCTGATGGCAAAAACAGAGCAGTGTTGCCAGAGGGGTGCGGGGTGTGGAGTCCGGACAGGCTCTGAGAAATCAAAACAAGAAAAAAAAAGGGGAATTTGGTGAAAATCGGTGCAGGCTGTTATGTCCCGAATTAGAAAAAATTGCATTCTAATTTTTAATGATTTTGTGATGCAATCGAGAACATTTAAAGAGGCATTTCATTTTTTTTTTTCCCCTGAAAGGAACGATCAGAAAAATCCAAAGATCGTTTCTGAAATAGAGATGTGTGTAACAGCAGGACGTGGCCGTGGTTTGCTTATAGTAAAATTATAGAATTCCAATATAATCATAGAATCCATAACCATAGAGTAATTTGTTGGTTTTAGAAGAAAATGTGTGGGACTTTGCAACACTCCTTTTGACTTCTTCCCAGGTGACATTTTGAGCCTCCAACACCGGGGAGAACAATTTCTTAGAGCATTTATTTTTCTTAGCAGCCAGAACTATGGCACGGCACAAATATTTGCTTTATGATAATGCGCAGACAATGCAAACACCCGAGGGCTTATCGAAGCACATCGCGCATTTTTTATCGCTGAGGTGCAGCCTCTGCTCCTCGGAGACCCACGGCCGACGGTGAGCGGCACTGAGCGGTGGTGCGGCGGTGTCTCGGTGCGCGCAGAGCGGGCCGGGCTGCGCGTCCCTGCGGTGAGGAGCCGAGAGAACTTCTCGGGGAGAAATCCCGCCCGCTGCAGGCGTTAATTTCTGGGACAAAGCCGTCACCACCGAGCCAGTAAAACTCCCCTATCGCTGCCGAGGTCAGTGAGGAAAGCTTGTAGCCGTGCGCGCGGCCCCTCAGCCCGCGGTAGGGCTCGGAGCTGCGGGCTGAGGGCTGGGGCGGCGCGGAGCCCCTCGGACGCTCACGTCTCACTCCGTCCCGCAGGTGATGAAGCTCGGCAACCCCGAGATCGCCCGCAGATTGCTGATGAGCGGCGCGAACCCCAACCTGAAGGACAGTACCGGCTTCGCCGTCATTCACGACGTAGCCAGAGCGGGTTTCCTGGACACTTTGCAGACCCTGCTGGAGTTCCACGCCGACGTGAACATCGAGGACGCGGAAGGCAACCTGCCGCTGCACCTGGCGGCTCAGGAAGGCCACGTGCGGGTGGTGGAGTTCCTGCTGCGGCGCACCCCGAGCCGCGTGGCGCACCAGAACCGCCGCGGCGACACGGCGCTGGACCTGGCCCGGCTGTACCGGCGCAGCGCCGTGGTGCGACTGATGGAGGGCGGCCCTCCGCCCGCGGCCGACGCCAACTGAACCGGACCCCCTCGGACCTTGCGGCTCCCAGCCTCATTCTTTTATTATTTTCTTTTTTTTTCCCTCCTCCTTTTTAATAACTTTTGGTTCAACCCTACTTCTATTTTTTTTTTTGGTTGTTGTTGTTGTTATATTTTTTGAATAGTCGATAGCGTGAGTTCGAGAAGTTGTAGAGGTGGGGTTTTAGCTGAGGAACATGATTTCAGTGCACGGTGGCGGCACGTTGCTGCCGCTCACGGCACTCCTTACCCCGCCGTGCCCACGCCGCTGCTCGCACCGGGCTTCCAGCACCAGGCTCTGCAATGTATCCCCGCTCATTACTCAGCCATTAACCCAAACGCTGCGTATCCATCGCTTAATGTTCCCTTTCCGCTCCGGTGAAAGGAAACAACCCGCGGGGATTCTTCCCCCTCTTCCCCGTGCTCCTCATCACCCCCGGCTCAGCGTGTTGGGGTCGGGTGGGGACCGGGAGCGGCCCGGTCGGGGGTCACCGAGCCCGGGAAAGCCGCTTCGGGCAGCTGCCTCAGTTTGACACTAACAGGAGCTCGTAGGAGTAGGTTGCTAGCTTTCTAAATGTAGATGACACTTTTTCACTTTGTGTATTTAAACTTTCACCGAGCTGCCTTTGAGTTTAGTTACCAGAAACAACATAAGTGGCTTTTTTTTTTTTTTTTTTTTTTTTTTTTTTTTTGGCCAGAGGTTTCGAAGAGCTCGGTTGGGCACCCCGCGCCGAAAAGTACATTATTTTCCAGTTTCAAAATAGCAGATAACCATGGGCAGAGGTAGGAGCGTGAGGGGGCTGCAATACTACAGCTCCTCCCGTCCCTGCCTGAGCTGAGTGCCGTTTCGATGCTCGCTCTTGTTTTGTCTGGGGAAAAAAAATAAAAAGGGATGATAGCTGGATCTTAAAGGTATTTGGATGCAATGGAATTTGGGAAGCAACACGTTAGGTACCCGTGAGGTTGTCTTAATGCCTTCACCTGACGAACAGTGTAATTCCGGAACTGTTTTCCTTCCAGAACAGCCGTTAGGTTCCTACGGCCGAACCGCCGGGGCCGCAGGGAGCAGCGGGAGGGGCGGCGGATGGGAACCTCAGCGTGCTCTGCGCTGCGGGTCCGACTGTCGGTGGCACAGGATGGGAAGGGCTCACATCAGTGTGAAAGGAAAGACTGGCTACAAAATAGCACAAAAAAGACAAGGGGTGTACCTTGCTTTACATTTTCTTTCTAAAAACAAAACAAAACGCATATACACGGTCCCGCAAAATGAGTTACCATTGTTTTCCAGCATCAGTAATTGCCTGGACCTGTCCGTCCCGTCTCTGTACTCTCACAACCACTGTGTTCTGCGTTCTCTGATTAAAAACCTCTGTGTACCGCAATGCCTCGCGCGGTTCTGTTGGCACATTTGTTCCCGAAGGGCTGCGGACCCTTCCCCACTCCCGCAGGGGATGGCAGCACGCCGGGGCCGCGCTCACCGCCTCTACTCTCCCCTACCTGCGCAGCCCAGGACCCCCCCAGCCCCAGCGGCGCCCCGTCCTCCCTCTGCCCGCACCCCCGCCCCGCCCTCCCGGTGCTCTCGGGATGCTCCCGGAGCGCGGTGCGCGGTTCTCCCGATCCGCAAAGCCTATCTCTCGGCAGCGATACGGTACACTGACAGCTCTTCCCCCGCCCTTGGCACCGGGGAGGTGAATGGATGTTGGAAACTCTCCGGGGAACCGGAGAGGGGGCTTCCCTATGTGCTGCGGTGCTCCTCAGTGGGGATCCTCTGCCCCAAAGGGTTCTGAGCTCGGACGTGGTCCTGGAATTGGCTTTTACGACCCTCTCCTCGCGCTCTGGCAGCGGCAGAAAGTCCCATTTTACAAATCCTTTTGGTGACAACGTCAACAACAACATTCATCAGAGGATGCAAACACACAGATGGAACGAAATTTTTTTTTAAAAAAAGCTTTTATTGAGACAGAGACCATCAGAAAAAAACATCTCCCGGGCAGGAGCAGCCCAGGGGCAGCGCAGCCGGGGCCGTGCACATCATAACCGCAGCGAGTGCTGTGCGGAGCGATGGGGAACAAAACGCTGCCCCGGGCACGGAGCCCTCTCCTCTATTTCGGGATGCGGAGCTGAGCTGTTTCATTGACTTTTCCTTCTAAATTACAGAGAGAGGGAAAGCTGAAATACATCCGAAAAGGAGCAGATCCCTGAGGGATGCGGTGGGCAACGGCCCTTGGGTCCGGGGGAACGGGGGCTGGGGGTGAGCCCCAGCATAGCAAATGGGGGCAACGGGAGGGCAGCGTTCCGTGAGGCTTTGTGCGCGTTTCTGTGCGGTGAGAGGAGGGATAAGTGAGTTGTTCCGTGCTGGGGTGAGGAATTATCTTCGTGGGAAACGCCGTTGCAGTTTTCTTGTGAAGAAAGGGTTAAAACAACAGAAAAGCGCCACTTTGGAGCCTCTAAAAGAAAGAGGGGTGCCTCTGCTAGCCGTGCACCCCACTGTTCGATGGGGCCGGGGAGCGGTCCAACGGCGTATCCACTTCCCCGCGGAGTGTGATTGCCATGGAGAGCAAACAGGAAAAAAAAAAAAAAAAAAAAAGCCAAGAGAGGAAAAATCTGCATTTATTCTGAGGGACGGCGGCACTGAGCGAGGCGGGGGTGGAGGGAAAGAAAACAGAAAAAAAAAAAAAAATAGAAACAAAGAAAAAAATAAAGAAAAAAAAAAATAAAAAAGAAAGCAGGGAAGCGAGCGGGCAGCCGCGGGCAGCGCGATGGTTCCGGGCCGCCGCGGGCAGCGCAGCCGAAATCCCCGCGCAGCGCCGGGAGCCGCCGCCCGCTCTCAAAATGTCGGTGGCGGCGGAGCGCTGCGGCGTCCCCCGGGGAGCGCGGAGGAGCGGGGCCGCCCCAGAGGCCGCCGGGCTGGGGAGGGGGGGGGGCAGCGCCCGGCTCCGAAACCGTTAGCTCGTCTCTACGGTTCCTTTCCCCTTTCTCTTCCTGTCCAAATATTTTTAAATTTACGCGCCTTAACTAACAGTCTGATTTTATTTCGCGAGTTTCCTCCTCGGGCTCCACCGCCGCTTCCCTCCGGCCCCCCGCCGCGAGGGGCCCGGCCCGGCCCGGACGCCCCGCTCCGCAGCCCGACCGCGGGGTTACTTTTCCTTTTTCTTTGCTTTTTTTTTTTTTCCTTCTTTTTCTTTTTTTTTCATCCCTCTCCCGGAGCCGAAGAGCCGCAGTGCGGTGAGTACAGCGCGACTCCCCCGGCTCTTAGGGACCCCCCGAGCCGCTCATTCCTGTGTCTCAAAGGCGAAGAAATCGCCCCCGGGTGCGGAGTGCCGCTGCCGCCGCTGCCATCCCCGCACCGTACCGCTCCGGGCTGCGGGGAGCTCCCAGCGCGGTGCGGTCCTCGCTCCGCTTTCATCGCTCTGAGTGGTCGCGTCGCCTCTGGGCATAATATGGGTGATAACTGGGCACGGCGACGGGAACTGCCGGCAGCAGCGCTGAGTGCTGAGAGGAGCCCTGACCGTGCGCAGCTGCGCCCATCCCGAGAGAGAGAAATGCTGCTGGGATAGCGGGGCACCGCGCGGCACCTGCGGGAGCGCCGACGGCTGCGGCTGCTCTCATAGCGGCGCCGGGTCTCGGCTCCGGGCTGCGCGGGGCACAGAGCCGGGCGGGGGCACAGTGCCGCGGCAGCCCCGCAGAGGGACACGAGCCTCCGAGAGGCACTGGCTGAGCCCCGAGCGGCTCCGCGGGGAAGCGCGATTCCCCCGTGCCTCGGTGTCCCCGCAGCGGCTTTCTGGTGGTTGTAAAGGTGCGCAGGGGGGCACCGGTATTTATGAGCGCTGACAATAGAAGTTACACCTTCCGTGAGAGGGCACGGTCTGACGCCGCAGCCGCCTGGAGGTGACGGCCGAACCGCGACTCCCCGCAGCGCTCCGTGTCCCCGCGCATGGCTCCCTCCCCGCGGCGCTCTGAACCCGCAGCCGCTCACCCACCGCCGCACAGCGCCGAACGCGGGGTGAGGGAAGCTGGAAGGGGCGGATACAGAGCGCACAGCGCGGGACGTGCGGCGTCCGTGAGAAAACGGAGCGGTCGGAGGTTTTTCGGGGTAAAATGCACCTTAACGCAGCGCAGCTCAGAGCACTCTCCCGGCTGCAGGAAGGGCTCTTGCTAAATTTAATAGCAACTTACTGGTGAGCGAGGAACCCACGTAGGCCGTAAGCTATGAACACCCATTGCGATGGGAACGGGGACGCTGCGGGACGCCCCGCCATCCCCCCGGCAGCGCTCCCCCCTCAGGCTGCGGGCCGGGCGCCGGCACAGCCCGATCCCGCAGGCTCTGGGCGCTGGGCCCGCACGGGGAGCAGCGGCGGACCCGCAGCCGGGGGTACAAATGCCGGGAGCAGCGCTTTGCCCTGCGGTGCTCCCGTCCCGGTGTGGCCGCAGGTACCGCAGTGCTCGGACTGTCGAAGGGAGTTTGATAGAATACAGCTGTTAAATAGGAAAGAGTGCTTGTTTGATGGACGCTGTCACTGATAATAATGTCACCGAGGTGTGTTCTGATTACTGTGATGTGCAAGGTATAGATTGCTCAGATGGATTTTGCTTTCACTGCTTTGCAATAAGAACTGCGAACAAAGCTCTGGTGCACCAGATACCCTGGTACAGCAATACACCCTGACTACAAAGTGAACAGCCGTATGCACCTTTTAATTTATAGAAACGTATTGTTTTGTGTAAAGAAGGCGGCAGATAATTAAATGTATTCATTTAACCTAATTATAGGCCTCTGAGGCAAAAAGCTGACACTTTTCTTTGTGGTACATTCAGAGAAGTTAATTGAAAAAACATTGCAGCCACAAGGCAGAACATGCCCCATGTATATTTGATACTAATTCTTTTTTTTTGAGGACTGGGGTGGATACGATGCCCACCCGAGATAAGGACTGCCGCTGCTCGCGGAGTAGGGCAGATGCTGCGGAGCCGTTATGCAACGCTGCAGCGCTGCAATATCTCTGCAATCCCGGAGCCAACCACAGACAGCTTAATTTGCCAAACTGTGAGCTGGTTTTGTAATGTACACAAGTATCTATTACAAATTAAGAAAGGATTGAGCGCGCTTTTAGCTGGGACGGAGGTCAGGGTTGGAGCACAGAGCTGCGTCTCGAAGTGCCGGCACACTGAGCAGCCCCCAGCCCTCCCAAACCCCCAAGATGAGAGTTTTTCGGAGTTCTCAGGCTATGGGAGCACCGGAGCCGGGTCATTGGCAGTGTCCTCTGCGGTTTCCAGCTCTCAGTATTACACGCTGACAAATGCATAGCGAATCATCGCTCGCAGCTCCCGACTGTATCACAATAAACGCACGACGGACCCTTTGCTCTTATGAGTAATTTCTCCCATCACCTGATGCGCGCCAGCAACTCCATCTGACAGCGCTGCCGCTTTCACTCTCTGCAGCAGAGCTTTCCAGAAGAAAGGGGCTGCAGCAGCCCCCCCCCGCGCTGGCTGGGGGCAGAGCCACCACTTCTGCTAAAGAAATCCCAACCCTTGAGCCCGATCGGCACACATAGCAGTTTTTCCCCCTATTTTACCAACGGAAAGCAGCAGGTGCCCGCGGCTCCGGCAGCAGCCCCCGCCCGCGGCTGTGCCCCCCCCTAACCCCGCAGCTCAGCCCTCTGCTCTGCTCCCCCCGTGCTTGCAGCCCAATTCCTGCAGTGATGCTGCGAACGAACCCAGGGAAACTCATTGCTGGCGGCCCTATTTCCAGTCTCTCTAAGTATTTTCAAATGTAGTTTGCAGAAATAGCTTTTTACTGTGCTTACAAAAGCGTGTTGCACTTTTGCAATTCGAATGTTTGTTAACAAAGGCACAGGAAGTCTGACAAGTAAACAGTGACATGCAGTCACCTGAACTCTGGCTCAAGAGCTGCAGAATATTGAACAAAGCAGCTTTTTAACAACAAAAGGTCTTGCAATAGAAGTCACTCGTGCCCTATTCTTATTTTCTTAGATTCTCATTTTTTTTTTAATCACAAAAGATGAATCACAGTTTGCACAGATATCCAGCTCAGACACTCAGCCCATGACTGGGGCACACTCAGCTCTCCTCCCTTACTCCCCAGCCCAGCCCATGGCTCTCCTCCCTTCACAACGCTGGGGGGATCCCTTCCCCACTCTCTGCTCTGCCTTCCTGCTCTCCTGCACTTTATTTTCACCCCCTGGTGCAAACCTGCCACCTGTACCTCACTCCTGCTCTCCCTCTGTAATTATTTCCCTTGGCACCTTACCCTCGTTATGCTTACCCACCTCTCACATCCTTTTCCCTCTGCCTAGCAGTCTTCCTCTGTCCCCACATTGCTCCACTCACAAGGACTCATTACACTCCTCCAACCAGACCCCAGCCCAGGCTGCCTAGGAGTGGGGTGACAGCTTTTGGTCCCCTGCCTGGGAGCACACAGACCACTCTTTGGGGTCCACAGCTGCCCTTTGTCCCTGACCATGTTCCAGCTGAGATCTTACAGCATCTCAGAACTCTGTTACATTTGGATGCACTTCTGTGAAACCACATCAGCTGTGCTGCCAAATTTCGAGTTGCTGCTCAGAAGGTGCAGTGCCGGGCTTGGCCAGTGTCAGTGTTGCCTTTCCTATTCCTTCTGTAGAGAAATGGGGCTACCAACACTGCTGAAGGGAACAACTTTATTACTATTATCATTACTACTTAATGTGAGCAAAATATTTGGTTAACTTTGTGCTTGAGGATGACCACTGTGGTTTAGCCAGCAACTGCCAAAAATTAAACCTGGAGCAGATATTTGGCTTGGAACGTGTCAGCAAGTGGAAAACATGATGCTGTGGTGGAGCACAGGGCACAAAGCAGAGCAGTGCCACGGCTCTGGCCTGGATGGGGGAGATTTTTAGGTGAGCTGCTCTAGTAGCAGGTTGGGGGGATTAAGCAGAATTCAGCCAGATTTCATATTCTGAAATAAATGAACAAAAGGCATTCCACAGGGATGAAACCTGATGGAGAGAGCAGAGGGAAGGGCTGAAGGAGTTGTTTCAAGGAGGAGAACACCAACAGCAGCAGAATCCCAAGCAGTTTGTTTGGGGTTGTCAGCCACCCCCCCTCTGGATCACTGTGGGATGGACAAAACCAGCACAGTAACCAATGCTGGGTGCTAACTGGCATTCAGAATTGTTACTTTTCAATTTATTTTTTTTTCTGTTAAGTGGGAGAGAAGCAGGGGCACAGGAGTCCTCTCTAATGTACAATGAGCTCCCTGTCAATTTGCAAGGTAAATCATTGTTCTGGTTTTCTTGTTTTTGTTTTTGTTTTTTGTTTTTAACCTGTAAGATTAATGCTTTTCAGTTCTGTCAGCAGAACCAATGGATTGCCTGCCACTTGGCAGCACATTTGCCTAAAAGATATCTTCTAGCTTGAAAAGAAGCTCGCTCAGGAAGTCCTGTGGCCTTTGCTTTGCAGGAAGTCAGCCCAGATGACATGGTGGTCCCCTCTGGCCAGTTCACCTCTGTCAGGCTTTGTCTGTGATTTTAACAGCAAAATTGGACATGGCTCTGAACTTTCTGTGCTGTTAAAATATCTGGAGTTGTGCTGCGCTGCCTGAAGGAGTGAGGTTGCATTTATGCAAAATGCTTTATGTTAATGACTGTAATTATATTAATTACGGTCAAAATGGTGACCTGTGATGAAACTGTACAGAGAAAAGGACAAAATTAAGACTGCTGTTATTTTACACACACACACACAGAATTAACCTGGCTTCACATCCCCCCCTCAAAAAAAGCTGAATTTTCATGCTGAGTGCTGCTGCTTGGCACACACGTGTGTGTTTGCCTTCCTAGAAGTGCAGGTGTTCAACTAGTTCAGATTTGTTTTTCCTTTTAAGCTTTAACACTAAAGCCTCAGCTTGCAATGCTCACTCCTGGGACTGCTGCAGCATTTCTATAACCTGTCTCATTCGTAATGGCATTTTACCCCCAGCATCTTCCATTTCATACGGTTTATCAGGGTTTAAGGATAGTAGAGAAGTTGACCTGACAGCACGATGCAATGAGGCACAAAGCAGTCTTCAAAGAGAAAAAGTAGCAGGAAGTTCTCTCATACCAGGTATTAAAAATAGACTGCACCAAGTACTGGAATGCACACAGTGGTTATGTAATGGCTTTTTCACTGACATGCATTAGGAAATACTCTCAGAAAATGGTTTTCCTTCATAACACCCAGTCTACTTCTCTGAAGTTTGGAAGTTCTTCATGTGGATACTTCTAAGAAGTCTAAAATTACAACGTTCATTTGAAAAACCTATCAATTAGCAAGCCACATAATGACACCATCTAATGGTACAATTGAAGTATTTGAATTTAATATACCATTTTCATAATGGCACAATATGAAACATATGATGGAGTCCTGTTTTTCCCCACATGTTAGGCTTGATTTATTTCTGACAATGCAATAATTTTGCACTGGAGGCACCAAAAGAGAGAAATCAATTTGGGTGCATGACATAAATAATGAGAGCGCTGGCTGCTCTGGAGCACTGAGAAGAGTGTATTTGTGATTAGGTGCCTTTTACAAATGGGAGGCATCTGTGGAGCACGGAGAGGAGACAGAGCAGTTCCATCCAGCTGCTCCTAGAAACCTGAACAGCGGATGATTTTGAGAATCTTCCTCAGACTTTTCCTTAAAGCTCTGCTAGAGGTCCAGCCCTTGCAGTGTGAGAGAATAGTAAAGGAGATGGTAAGACTTGAAGTCTACCTTTGGGATTTTCACTGTCCCACTGTTTCCTTGCATTATACAATGTTCAGAGCCAACCTGCAGTATTCTCTGCCTATAGCAAGGGTGTCACATACAGAGGACAACATTACTTTCCTGCCTGCCCCAAAATTTATCTATTTTTCCATCACAGCCTTTAGACTTCCATGGATACATTGAAGTTATCACTAACAATATTAATTTATAAACAAATTTATACACTTCTTCTGCTTTGATCAACACCTACACCACTGTGTCAGGATTTCTTCTGTTGCCATGTATCAGGGTGTGACCAGCAGCACAGTTAGGGACAGTTTTCATCACCCACTTGTGTGAGACATGGCGAGTGACAGCAAACATGGGGGGTGAAATCCTGCCCATATTTTGCCTCCTGCAAATAAGTTTTTCCTCTTCCGTATAACATATTAAATACTAAGAGATCCTGAGCAACCAGACATGACCACAGTAGGTCAACATGAGCCTTGTTTTAAGATGTGTAGAACTTCACACTCAATTGGGTCTGGCTTTCCTGTGATATCTTAACATATTTTCTAAGCAAAAAATGCAAGAGCATTATTGTTTCACTCTGTTCTCTCCTGTGTGAGAGCGCAGGAAAGCCTGTGAGCTACTCCAGGCACAATCAGATAAAAGACTGGATTTGTTTTCTCTCATTACCATCCTGCAAAATGACCGAATTTAAAAATCCATACTGATGTGCAAAAAACCTGTATCATACTCAGTGCATTTCAGAAAGAGGCAGATAATAAAAGCAAGAGAACAAGTTGTTCCCTTGTAGAGAAACTGTCTGCTAGATAAAATATTTTGAAACATCTGAAATGGCAGCCGGAAAGAAAATGAAACAGGGAAAACTGAATTCAAGCAGAAAATCTATATCGCAAAATAAGTAAGGAAGTGAGCATGAGAGATGAGACAAAAGTTCTGCTTTTAAAAATGACCAATACAATTTCTGTTTAAAACGACCAAGGCCACAAAAATGAAAGAAAAAAAAAAAAGCTGAAATGACCAACGAGTTTATTTGCTTCTAGATGTTGTTACACAAATGTATTTCTGGGAATCTGGAGTCAGAAAGTAAGCTGTGAATAAATCAGCACTTGTTTTTCTACTCTGGTGCACATGCAGAGCTGCAGTTGTTTATGTGGAGAGGAACAGTGCTCATGCTTAGTCCTCAATAATGCTCCCAAATACAGGCAGATTCTCATCGTTCTGCTTGTGTGTTGTACATGAACAGAAGCAAATAACATTCTATGTTTCCTTTCATATTTTATGACAATTTTAGTGCAAGCAAAACTGCCTTGAATCAGCTTTCATCCATTTTGAGGAAAAGCCATTTTAGGGCAAAAGAGAACTGCAAACTCCTGTTTCATACAGGTTTTCTGCAAGCTGTGCTCCAGTGAATTTTTGTGACTACATCTGAGTTTTATGGGATATATGCACTTGACTTTTCATACGATATTTGCTGTCACCGAATTTGACATTCAAGGTCAAGGTTTCAAATAGATTTGTAGTCAAAAGCTTGCATTTTGGCTGGATTTAAAATCTCAGGGCTTTTCTGTCCCAACACAAACATGGGAAATCTTATTTACAAATTCAGAGAAAAAAAAATATTTCAAAATTAACTGTTATTTTGCTGGAAATTTTCCTTTTGTTCACACACTCATGTTCTCTTCATGTTGCTGACTTGTCTAAAAAAAATGCTATTAGTATGTTCATAAATTGGGCAGAATTGTTAAAAGCTTATGAAAATCAAACAAAAGCTCTCCCACATTCTCATCAGCTTTTCCAAAATGCAGAGATTATTCTGTAGCATTTAGGGCTATAATTTTATGGTAGGAAGAAATTCTGCATTTTACACTGTTTGCTGGTTAAGCACATGAGAATAGATGATACCATCCCACTTCAGAACTAATAACAGGATGTCTTCAGATTATCTTTATTACATTAACCTTTTCCTTTGTTTGAGCCAGAATTCCCCTTGAGGGGAAGAAAAATGATGCTGACACAACTTACTATTGCAAAGGAATCATATGGTCTATTTCCCAAGCATTTCATTTGGCCACAACCTGTTTAACTTACAGAAGTTACTGAAAAAAAAAAAAAGACAGCAAGTTCTATAGAGGTGGTCAGTAATTCAGTAATTTTAAAACAGTGAGGGATATTGACTGCCATTATTATCTTTTGAAAATGCTGCAGAGGAAATGTGGGCTGGAAAAGAAGACTGAGAAAAGATGGGCTTCATACTGCAGAAGCACAAATAAAGAAAATTTAACACTTGGTACTTTTCCTAACAGACAGATCTGAAATTTGGGATAGGAATTGGAATTGATGAACCTGCCTAAACCTGAGCCATCTGCTTACCTGAGTGACAGAACACACTGCTGCAAAAAAGCCAGTGCGTTAATTCCTTACTGCTTCCAAGTCAGCAGGTCTGAATTTAACTTTTTGCCTTTCTTTTTCTTCTTCTTCTTTTTAATTTTTTTGTTACCTCTGCCATTCTGGTAGCATTTCCACACACATTCCCCTTGCCTGAGTCCGCTCTGCCATTAGGCAATCCAGGATCCTTAACCTCCAATTCTACCAGCCTGCTGCCTCCAATCATTCTCTCACAGCTCTATTTCAGCTTTTCAAAGCCCAGTTTGACTCGGGCTTTCATCACAGAAACATCTACCCAGCATAAAATCTTTCTGGGACCACACAGGTGTAATTTTTTTAGTGAAACACATCACGTTTTGTCTGGACTAAGGAGTTAAGGGCAATGGAAAATGGAGAGAGATTAGGATTTGGCATGTTATCAGTCACTCCTGAAATCTCTCCCAGAGTAAACTCTGTTTCATTGGGAATATTTATTGTCCAGGAAGCAGCACTTAGAATTTTCCTCACCATAAAAGAATTCAGCAGAATACTGGAGAAGGAGGAGGTTAATTACTCAAAGAACTCTGCCAGTAGCCTGATTGCAATCTGTAACGGTTCTTCCACGAAACAGGCATAAGCAAATATTTCTAATAAGGAATTGCTCTCCGAGAATAAGATGTAGAGGACTAACAGACACGATTATAAATTTGGAATGGAGAACACGCTTCTCCTGGTGTACTGTGAGGATAATCAGACCCCATTTTGTTAGCATGTCCTAGAGATGACTTGTTTTCAGAGAATTACCTTTAATAATTCTAGATTCTGGAGAAACACGATTCCCAGAAGCTCAGGGATTGCTCTTACCAAACTGACCCCACAGAAAGCTTTTGTTGCACTCTGTGTGCAGTTTCTTCCTCTCCTGGCTGCCCTCATCCCATCCAGCAGCCAATGTCACCACTGGTGACACCGCCTCCACAGCTCCACGCTGCCAGCTTGCCTGGCCTGCACGGGGGTGTGCACGTGAGCAGCAGAGCTCTGCGCAGGGGCTCCTTCTAAAAGAAATATGAATTCTCCCACGAATGTGAATGTTGGGACCAGATATCCATTCATTTGTTAAGGGCAAATACAGCAGACAACGAATGCTGCACTTTTTCTGTTATTCAAACCTGCTGCTAACAATGAAGAAGATTATGTCATTCCCTGGATGTGACAAAGGACTAATATTATATGCAGTAAAAACAATGAGTCAACAGTTTCTATGCCCTTGAGGTCAAAGCATTCAACAGTTCTGCATGTAGACTGTTCTTTTTGTACACAGAGCTTGTAGCTGGATATTAATACAAAGCATGCAAAATCAATATATGACCAAAACAAAACACGTCTTTTTGAGTTCAAATCAGAATATTTTAAACACAAGCTGAAAGTCCAATTGAAGTATCTTATAAGCTAAATAACACTAGTTTTACTCAAATGTGTTAAGTGTAATATTAGAAAACGTTTATTTTCATTTTCAAAAATACTTTATCTACATTAAATTACTGATTCTACAATCTTGTAAGGCCCTTGGCAAGCTCTACTCCCAGTAATGTTTGTAGGAACTGTATTAATACAGCAACTGAATAATACAAAATGTTCTAGAGATATTTGTAAGAGTCTGAAGCACAAGACAGACCTTTAACATGAAAACATGTTTTGAGAGACAGTAGAAAGCAAGGAGTCTGACAACCAAAGTTTCTTCTCTATTTCCCAGAGTTTCAGGAACACACAGGGCATTGACCAAATCCTGCCCATCTTTAACCCCAAATGCCTTCAGCTCGGGGAGATACAAGAAATGCCCATCCCAGACACAGCTCCTTCTTCAGTTAACCTGAAATCATCATGGAGGGTTATTATCCTCCTTACAAAGATGGGTGAACCAAAGCACAGAGAAGTGACAGCTCAAGGTCATTTACAAGTCAGGAGAACTTGGGGAAACAAAAACAACTCAGGTTTCTCAATCCACTGGGCTTTGTTGCTTCTCTGAATATCTGCTCAGTGCCGTCCCTTCTCAAAACCAGAAATAATTTAACAACTCTGAGAAGTTTTTTTTTGTTTTTTGTTTTTTTTTTTCCCCACGCTATTGCTAAAAATTGTTTTATTTTGTGGAAAAATTGGTGTGCTGGTTGAGTTTGGCTTTCAGCCATACAACCAAAGGCAGGAGCCCAGGGCCGGCCACAGCCTGCATGTCCTGACAGAGCAAACCTGGAGATAAGAGGGCTCAAGCCGGAGGAAGAAAGGCCATTTTGTCTGCATTGATTCTAGCTAGTTGACAGTGTTTGGGACTAAGATGAGTCCCGGTGTGGAATAAGTGGAATTCTGCAACCTGGCAATTACTTGAAATTAAACCTTAGGAAAATCCCTACAAGTTTGTTCTGGCACGCTGACAGAGCACTATGCAAAGTTTCTGAATTTATGCTGCCCATTTTGCTGCGTCACCTAAAATAACTGTTTGCAAATGTACACAGACATAACCTGTGAAGAAGATGCCTGGCCTTAGGGATTATTTACCCAAAACAAGAGGAAAGCGCCTCTGGGGGGCTGACTTTTGCAGCCCTTTTACAGCTTTGTTAAAGATGTAAATGTAAGAGGTGTAACACAGGCTGATCTACAAACTCTGAGATTTTAGATATATTTATTTTTTAGAAATTTAAACCACATTCAAAGCCCTTGAGGTACCCCCAGTTTTACATCACACTGCCCAGGAAAAGCAGGGAAGCTTCTGAATTGTCCAGTGGATCCCATGGATCCTCACACATTCTCTGCCTCATGGTAGGATTTTCACAACAGGGTCTCACCAGTGGATTTCAATTAAAACATACACATTTCCACTGAGAAGTTGCTCTTATAAACTCAAACCAAGTCAGACTAAAATAAATTCATTATGCCTGAAACATAACTTTGGTATTAGAAAGTACCATAAATCATTATTTTAAGATTGGAGCCTATTGTAGCGTGCTGAAGCAGGTCACATTCTTGCTGCTGATTACAGCAGGAGAAATATTTGTCCAATTGTGATATAATGAAACAGAATTTCCTTTGGATGCCTCCAGCTGATTATAGATTGTACAGCATGCAGTGCTTGGTTTGACATTGCAATTGATCCTCCATAGCGATGACTCAAGAAGGACACAATTGTTTTAGAATTGTATGCAAGAGTGAGGAAATGTATTTCCCCTGTGAAATAGAAACATTATAGCCCCTTTTTTTTAAGTTGGGAAATTGTTCATGCAACATCTCTTACAGCCTAATGAAAAGCAAAATTTGCACATGGTGTGGAAAGGTTCACCCATCGTTGCCATGTTAGGTCTGCAGCTCAACAGAATGCGTGCATTTATTGTCCCACGACGCACACAAATACATTTAATTCTAAAGGTAAAGTTATATCTTTCACTTAACTATTAAATAAGTAGATTTATGAAGAAAAAAAATAAACATTAGAGCTCATTTCCGACTGCGTTCCAAGAAGGGATCTTTATCTGACCTTTGCTTTTAAAGCTCTGATCCCAGCAACAAACTTAACAAACTTGCAGAGCAGTAAGTACTCCAAGTACTGTTGAAGCTGCTCCTTTGTTAAACAGGATATTGCAAGTTTAAATTAGGAGGAGAGATTCCAATTCAGGAAGATACTGAAGGCCATAGTTAAAATGAAACATATCTCCAAATTATCTTGTAAACTAGAGTTTATGTAAACAGACAACTCTTCCAAGATAATAGTATAATGAAAATTCCAAGAAACAAGGGCATATTAATATGTATTTAGAAGCAACACCCACCTTATTATCTCAAAATTTTGCAAGTATGAGATTTAACAAAACTGAAGTTCTGTTCAGTGTTAGTTTGATAACAGAAATAAATCCAACCAGTATTATTTGTAAATTCAAGAGACAAATATATCCTTAATGCTAATAAATACATAAATAAATAAACAAATAATAAACCTCCAAGTTTGAGGCAGAACCACCCCCAAGTCCTTTCCCCAGGTAGACACGTAGGTGTGAAGCCTGTGCTGCTGCAGGGAAATGTGAGAGGTATTATGGGCTGTTTGACTCACCCCAAGCACCACTTGCCCAACAGGAGCAGCAGTGGGTGCCTCTCTCCAAACCAAGGCTGGAGCCAACCTGTTCCTGAACCACAGCAGGAGACCGGGGATGTGGGATGGAGAGCAGGCCTGCTCCTGGACTCTGCTTTTCAACAGGCAGGCGTAGAGGGACTTCAGGTAAATAAATGGGGGTGGGGTGGGCTTCCTCACAGAGATGGAGAAATGGATGAGGATTTAAGGGTGATCATTTTCTTGTAGCATGTACAAATATCGTCTGCTCTATCAGTGAGATTAAATTATTTGCCTCTCAAAGTCTTCTGCATAGCTGGAATACTTATTACTCATTCTTCTCGATAGAAATCTAGCACTGTGGTTTTGATGACAGTGAGATCTATACTGATCTCTCATGCTTTCAGCTGGAAACGTAGTGTCTCCTTCTTCATCTGGGAACAAGACCACACTTACAAAGGCTTTTCTAAAGAAATTAAGAATAAAGTTCATCTGCATTTGTCTGTAAATACTGGTTACAGTCCTCCACAATTAATCAGCTTTTTCCTAGAAGTCTTGCTAAGTACTAATTAGTAAAACGCTTGTTTTCTCTTGCAAATGCTGCGCTACATAAGCTTTTTTCATCAGGGATAAAATATTACATTTTAAGCAGGAGTGGATATTATCACTTTAGAAGTGCTTATATGCATTTCCTGTGCTTAGATACAGCCTAGCAGTAATAATACCACAATTACCAGAATGTATAATCTATAATATAGCACTGAGCAAATCAGCACGCAGCCAAACGGGCTGCACACATCCTGCAGGATACCACTGCCATTCTGAATTGCTTCCGGTGAACGCTGTGCATCTGGAGGATGATTTCTGAGCTCTGAGAGACTCCTGGGTTTGTGCTCTGGAAGCCACCTCCTACAAATATGCAATGAGATCTAAACATAGATGTAGACACAGATTTAGGGGTACAAAGCTAAACCGTGATTTATCTGTGTTTGCCTAAATGAGGAAAATTCTGACTTAGAGGAAAAAATTGTTTTGGTGTTTTAAAAATACAAATGGGATTTCTAATAAGAATGCAAAATCATTGCAAGCAAAACACAAGCATGAATGTTCAGGATTTTCATTTGATTGCTAAGTTACCAAAATAACGCATAATTGGCTCCCCTTCCCCCCAAACACACTGGAGATCTAAATATAAAATCCTAGATGCTCTCTTTCCTATAGAATAGAGCATAATTTCCTCTCTGTGTATGCACCTGCAAGCAAATATCTGAAAATATACACTTCAAAGTAATCTTTTTTGAAGTCAGAGAAAAAGCAAACTGGAAACTGAAATATGTAATTTTAATTGCAACACACGCTGCTGCCATACACCAACTGCAACCTTACAGGAAATGCTGGCAGCCTGGCACTGCTACCGGGCTGCCTTGGACATGAAATCTGTTCATTGAACGACCTGCTCATTCAGCAGCCTTTCCAGGTGTTAAATTCAATGCAGACATTTTAAGATGCTCAAAACCATTTTAAAATATAATTTTAAAATATGGTCCATAAAAACAAAAAAAAGGCAGCTGTGTCATCTGCCATCTTTTAAAGCTAGGCTCACAAAGCCTCTAGTTCTCTTTCTGCTTTAAAGCAGAGTGACAGGCCATATTCCTGAGCATATATAATTTCCACCAAGTCTTATAAGACTCCAGAATTTTATTTTAAATTAATAATATGGCAATTTAGAGAGAATATAAGATGCAAAAACCAATTATTTTTCCCTTTCTGATCCAGGTCTACCATACTGAAATGAGATTTGAGGAGAACATGACAATCAATGCAGTGCTTATTTGAAAGGGGTTTTTAAATTATCCCTTTCTCTTGCTGCATTTGGTACAAAATAACACAATGAATAAATGGCTCAAGCTTGATCTACCCACTGCAGAACACACGGAGAACACTGGTGCTGCTGATGCACATACCTGCAGCGTGGCCAGGGCTGGCTGGAGAATGGAACACGTGTCGGGAGGAGGGAGCTCCTCTGGGAGGCAAGAGTTTGTTATAAAACAGTGCAGCCAGCCACATCCACACAAAGGACATTTTCTATAAGTTTTATTGTCCTTTCTGCACAGCGGTTTTAATTTTTATAGACATTTTGTGTTCCCTGTCACTGTCTTTTACTTTCTCTGGTCTGATCTTGTCTGGAAAGATGCTCAGAAAATTCATCACATGTACTAAACACAGTTTGGGATGATTGCTTTCTTAACAAGGCAGGAGAAAGAGAAGACTACTGCTACATCCTGCCTGCACACACTAACCCAGCTGCACTCACTATAGGCCCCTCCATAGGTACTTCATACCGCTTCTGAATCAACTGTGCATTATCACATGTGTGTTGCAATTTGTCATATGTCAGGATGAAAAAAATTCAGTTTTGGCTGCAAGGTGCTATAGACACGTGAATCCATGCAAAATGACTTGGCTGGGGCTGAGGAGAAGCAATGCTGCTTGTGTTGACTCCTACAGTGCTGCTAAAGCACTACGGACACACATCTATTCATACTCCAGGCTAGAAGATGGTTTACAGAGTCAGTGCTGAACCTGGCCTGTCCCTGCTCACTCTGGAGCTGCACACATAGGATCAAGTCCTCCAAAGCCATGAAATATGGAGGAAAAAAAATGATGAGGCTGTGGGGACCATCAGAGGCATGGCAGCATCTGATGAGGCTGTCACACAGACACAGCCTAGACCTGTACTGGAAGCAATGCAGCCTCCTCTGTGGGGCACCACACTGGCACTGGGTGGACACACAGCTCTGCATCTACGCGCATCTCATTTCTCATTCTTCATTAACTCATCTACTTAACCCTCCTCATTTTTGTCCATGCTTATGCATGAATGATTTTTGTAAAAATCCTACACATTTGTGATATCATTAGAAATTAAGATGATGCTATGTTTACAGAATATTTACTCGTTCTCTAGTGATGCTCGGGTAGAATTATCAGCTTATATTTATTTTATTTATTGCTAATTTTTTAGCAGTGGCACCACCTTGTGGACACTGCTACATGAAATGAGAAGCTGCCTAATGTCATCAACAGCAACTAAATCAGTGCAGTTAATTTTGGGGAAAAAAAGAAAAAAAATATCTACTGAAGCAAAGTAAACTACAAATTTGATTCCAAAGAATCAAGGTATGGAATAAAACTTACAGTAAATACTGGCCTGAATGTACACAGTTGTCTTCTTGGCTCTTTTCTCCTGAGCATTAGACAAGAAGGGTGGGTGGTAGCTTTCAAAACTATTTTTGTTCCCTCTTGAGACAGAGCTGAATTAACTGAACAAATACACATAGTTGACAGGCTTCTTTGGGGCTGCTTGCCTGACATCTCAGGTCACTCTCACCAATTTAAAAAAAAAAAAAAAAAAAAAAAAAAAGAAGAGGTCTAGCGTTAGAGAAAACAAGCCTGACAACGCAACTACACTGTTTTCTACTCCTATGGCACCCTTAGTAAAGGAGATAAATAAGCACTACTCCCACCTTCCCCTGCATAGGTTTGGAAGAGGAAGGATCAGGACAGCTAAGGCACTGCCATGGCCTCTGAAGAACCTGTTGGCTGAGAATAATCCGATTTATATTTACTGCAAGTCTTGTGTTGCAACGAACTCAGTCTATCAAATTATTTCTCATCTTCTCGAGCAGATGACAATGTTGTTCTGTGTCTATCGTATTCACTTCCTTGATTTCCCTTGAATAAAGAAACCAATGACCCATATGGTAAAAATAACCCTATATGTCCACAATGGTATTTTCTCCAGAGATTTGGAATTCCCTTTAATGTCTCAATTATCTTTTTTCCTTACAGTCACCCAGCTACCATGGCACTATGTCAAAATAATTTTCTGCAGGTTTCTGCAAAAACTGATCTCTTGCCAAATTAGCACATCAACTGCAAAATCAATTTCCACAGCATCGCTGACATTCAGGAAGTCCCCAGAAACCAACAGACGAATCTCAGTCACCCCTGGACCAAACGCAGGATGTATTTGGTCTTCAGAACAACAAAGCACACTATCAAAAGACACACTAATATTGTTAAGATACTAAGTATTTGTTCAGCTAACAAAGGTTGCATAAGCCTCCACATGTATTAAATCCAATGTTTAATTTTTTGTATTATTGAGAAACGGGTGACTTGGTGCTACGCCAGGCTTGGGTAGATGGAACAGGCTACACGTTTATAAAAGGAAAACAGTAGATGGAGGAACATTGGCCAGAAGTGCCAATTTCAAATGATATTCTGACCACCAAATAACCCCATCCCACACACATGATTACAATCAGAGCAAATATGCTGTGAAAGCAGTAAGACAGGGAAAATTGGTAATAGCAGATGGGAACTTTAACTACTAGTATTTGACCTTCAGATGCTACGGAAATCTAAAGGCTTATTTTTTGTGTTTTCAATTCACAAAGTGAAGTGAAATATAAAGACTTCGATTTTTGTGTTCATCCCCAGCAAAGTTTGATGCACAAACTGCACCTCTGATGATGATCAGAACACGTTTATGCATGGTTCCACAAAAGCCGACTTGGCTGTATCTATTGATAACTAAGAAGCAAGTTGTTTTCTACTGTGTCACTTCCTGAAGTGAAAAAATATATATATTCAAATGCTTTATAATTTATCTTCTAGTTATTTGTCAATTTCTTGTTTTCCAGAGTGCCTTTTCTCTTTCTTAGAGGGAATATGAAGGGCAAGAAGATTTCCAAAGAAGGAGGATCTGGTAATTCTCAACAGTGTGAGTTAGTTCTCAGCATCTTCACGATTGAAAAAATACAGGCAAACACTCACATCCCTATCCAGCTGATGCAAAAAGTACCTTTCAACATAAACCCCTTTGTCTAATAAAAATACAAGTGATTTTTGAATTTCAGCTTTGTTCTTGTTCTGATGGTGCTAACAGAATACTTGCAAGCTATCTATATAAAATGCCACAGAATATGCAATGCGCCAAAATACATTAGGATTTGTTAGTATAGCAAGGAAAGAAAACCTGTAATAAACCATCAAATGAGATCTGTATCATAAAACACCAAATATTCGTTTCTAGAGTAGAGTACACAGCAAGATTTTCCAGAGTGAGATTAAAATAGGAGCTTGGATATGGAAAGGCTGTTTGTTACCATCCACAGTCTGGCTGAAGTAGGAGATCATTATGGGTGTTCATTGACATTAAGACCTAAAATCACTTCCACACTTACATTTTTAAATCAATTATCACTCTGATGAGACTTTCAGAGCACTTAGCAGCTGCCATTACACCTTCTCCGAGTGCCAGATATGAGGAAGCATTTTTGAGGATACAGCTTTTGTTGCATTCAGAATCCCTTTGCTGCCAAGTTCTGACATAAATAAATGCTTCAGATGATCACACAATCACCAAGGCTGAGAGCACCTCTGAAGACCATCTGGCCCAACCTCTCTTCTCAAAGCAGAGTTACCCAGAGCACGCTGGAATCTCCCCGACTCCACCATTTCTTTGGCCAAACACATGGCAGATGCTCCAGGCCCCGAATTGCCTTCGCAGCCCTTCCCTGTACCCAGCCCAACACGTCCATGTCCTTCTTGTGGAGAGCCCAGAGCTGCATGCAGTACTCCTGCTGAGGTCTCATTAGTGCTGGGTAAATGGGAATAATCTCCTCCCTTGCCCCACTGGTAATGCTTTTCCTAATGCAGTCCAGAATGCTGTTGGCCCTTTTCCAATATATATTTTTTATATCTATAAAAGGAATTCGGGGACACCGTTTTATAATTCCAGGACCTGTTTTAAACCAGGGAAGTAAAAACTGCGTTATTCTGCTAATGCACCTTTTACGTCCACATCAGGGACTGCATTTATGCTCAGAGTTCTTTTTAAATAAGTTGCCCATCAAAAAGAGATGCTTGGGACAACTATACATTGCCTTGTGAAAACAGCTGCACAGCGTATTTCTAAAGGTATGAATGCTATACTGAGCATCTTTGCAGGAATGCAGGCACCTTGGAAAACTTCAGTTCTAAACGATACAAATTCCTAATCTCGTTGTGTTGCTAATACTGAGAACTGAAGATAGCAGATTAATTACTGTTATGTTTAACTCACAGATAACCCTCTGTAGCAATAACATTCAGCTCACAACCTTTCACTGTTTCCAAAAGCACTCCATACCATTTCAGGAGCCAAATATCCAGTTCTCCCTCAACGTATTCCCTAGAACCTTGCACTTCCTCTGCAGCTGCCACAGTGCAACTGTGGACAATATACTTAGGTACTGACAACACACAGTTTTTCTGTAGAGAAAGCCCATAGACTTTCCAGCAGGTCCTCAGGCAGCCTGGAGCAATGAGATGTTCTATCAGATTTGTTTGTCTTGGCAAGAAAGAGCACAACCTCCTTGAAAAATCTACATGTAGTTCCTCAACTATAAACAGTTTTCATCAGCTTTTCCATCTGCAGTATACGTCTTTGTTTGGCCAACAATTTTCAGTGTTTCTTGTTATACATGTCAAATTGTTTCTGTTCTGCATGAGCCTTGATGACTTAAGGGACTAAATTTCCATGTGCTGGAAGGAGTTTGCTCTTTCTGAATTTCACTGGTGCTTGGTCCGTGATTTCTCTGCATTTCTCACAGTCTGTTACTAAAGAACACCAATTATTTGGTACAGCAAAACTCTTTGCTCAAGTGAGACACTAATTCATCACCTAGTTAATGTCCTTTTGCCTCCTGGAATCAAACTTAAAACAGGACACAAAATATTCCTCTGAAAATATAGAAAATCAGAATCCTTGACATCCCTTTTTCCTGGTAAAAACACCTACAAAGTCATGCTGAAAGCCCTGGGAAAGCCTTTTGACTCTTCAGCTCATGTGCCCAAAAGGAAATTGGGAGAAATGGAAAAATCACAATATAACGAGACAGTGCAGGGAATCAGATTGACATTACGAAAAACAACTACCTCTCATATTACTCCCAGCTCTTCCATACACATGCTGAAGTGAGATTAAAATTCAGATGCTAGGAAGCAGAGTAGCTCTTCCCAAAACAACATGAGATTGGCCCAGGTGGCCACAACCTGCACAATATTTCACAGACTGACTTTAAAGAGCCTCATAACTGCCTCGTAGTCTCAAAGATGTTGAATATCTTTCTCAGCTTTTTCCAATGCAGACCAGATGTTATATTGTGATAATTCTCTCATGGGTCCTTTCCATTTTGACTCTCCATCAGCCAGGGATCCAAAGAGATATTACTTGAAAAACAGGAACTATAAAAGAGCCAGGAACTTATAAATTAAAACATAAACATTAATTTGTTTTCCAAGATACAGATGTCTTTTGTCAGTTCAAGCCTTGATCTCTCCACCAGCTAAAGGCAACAGTCGTTCTGTGCAGACACGTGCTGGAGATCAGCCAGCGGGCATTAACTTTTGGTTCAGATTGAACGGGGGAAGATTTGAAACAGAAGACCAGAATTAGAAGCTGTGATAGTGATTAATAGCTGATACCATTTAGAAACATTCCTGACACTAATAGCAGAAAACATGTCTTACACCAGGAACTGTAGAATTACAAAACCTTTTGGATGGCAGTCAGAAGAGTTTCAAGATGCCTTTGGAGATGGCAGGAGCCTTTCCCTCTGCTCACCTCCCTGACCTGTACATACACAGGCTCAAAATCTGGGGGACATGGACCCCATGGTGGTGACATCTGCAAGGGGCAGCACAGCTACAGCAGTACGCAGCAGCTGCATGGCTCCAGAGAAGGGGCCAGTGCTGGCAGGGGAAGGCACACGAGGCAGACAGCACAGGTGTGGCTCTGTAACAGGATGACATCAGACACACAAACATAAGCAACGGACTTCTTATCGTTTTTCTGGTAAGATATTAAAATACCATCAACGTTGCTCTTTAATCGTTCCTACAGCGCCGTATCCTTGCAGAAGTTAATTGTAAAACCGAAACAATGCCTTGTCAACAATGTTTCAGAATGAAGGATTTGCTCTGGTGAGTTTGTAAACAGGTGCTTGTCTTTTAAAGAAGATCAATCAACTATCTTCCACACACGGGGTCAGATTTGGGGCTGCAAGCCTCCTAGCTTCGTTCTTTCCTTTCTGAGGGAGAGAAAACCAAAGAGCAGTGGAGTTAGGCACCCGCTTCTTCATGATTCTGCTGACATAGCTTTTTCTCTTTGCTTGTACATAAAATTCAGCTCCTCTGAAACATTTTGCATTAGAAGCTCAGTGAAAATCCCTTCTTACATGCTAGTTAATCAGTGCCAAGGGAAGGCAATGCTTTCAACATCCAACGCTGCAGCACTGAGCCATGCAGCAGTTCCTTCCCTCTGTCCCCTTGAACTCTTCATAGAACACTAGCTCTGAATGACACCGTCCTTACTTAAGCAAAGTCCAAGGTGAGTGTGTAATATAAACATTATGCTTGTGTTTTTCTTTTTTTTTTTTTCCCCCCCTCTTTTCCCCAGAATAAAGGAGATATTATAATGTAGACTTGCAAGTAAAAGCATCTGTTGTTTCAGATCATTAAAAAAAATTAGTAAGGCATCTTATGCCATCGATCCATAGCATTGCGAAGGCTATGTGGTGGACTTTTCACCTTCTCTAGGTGAAAATTTCCCTTCCTTCTTCTCTTCCCTCTCCATTTCTGCCTCTTAACATGCCGAAAAAGAGATAGAAGGCGTGTAACACCTACCTGCACTATAACTGAAGTCTGGCAAATGAGATGGTATTGTAACTTATCGCCTATTAAGAGATACAATTTGAGCACATTGCTTCATGCAAACACACGACCTGCGCTGTTGTTAAACCAGAAGCTCCTTCTGGAGTTGTGACTGACACACTGAACTTTCTTCTTAGAGCTTTAAGGCAAGATCAGTCTTTTCTATTAATCTGCAGCCAAATATATGGAATGTAACTGTTGTTAAAAAGTTAATAACTTGGTATAAAGAGAAATGTATGATAGATAGCAAACAAAATCAAACAGAAGTGGCAGTTGAATGCCTAAACAAATCACATGCCACCCAGCTGCAAAAACCCACACTGTTGAAAATGCTAAAATCGCATACCAAGCTCTCAGTTCAACTGCATGTATTTGTGTAGCAACGTAACACACCAAGCTTTGCTTTCAAATGATGTAAATTTCCCTAACACCATTGCAAATCTTTATGTTTAATCACTAGGAATATCAACATCATCAACAGTTTGAGAACAATAAAAACTTAATATGCAAAAAGATTAAATATCTACAAAGGCTAGAGGCACCCAAATTCAATATTTACAGAAGTGTGTGCAGTAAAATGAATTTTCATCCTTATTTCTTTAACGTGACCTACATGTGCATTCATTTATGAGCCATGATACCCATCTCCACAAAGTAGTAATTTCCAATCACACCTCTTATTTCCTTTCAAGTAAACTCTATAAACACTGGCAGAAGATGCGTGTGTATTTCTCCAAATTTACACTTGAGATTATCATCTTACATTTTCTTGATAAAACCTAATAGTGCAAGAAGGAATGCACAGAACTCCACAAATGTGTGCAATTAATCTTCCGTTTTTAATACACTGCATCTGTCAAATGCCAACCTTATGAGTAGAGATGGAGCTAGGTTACAGCAAGGAGGCACTTCTGCTAAACTTTCCCTAGATGTCGCTATACTTTCTGGCTATTTTATTACAATCTTTACTGTTATTGAATGGAAAATTAGATATTATATATTAGCATAATTTCTTCAAAATATACCCGAATTATATATTTAAATATATAAGAATTCCGTGTAATTGAACATACTATGCACAATTATATATAGTATATGCTACTAGTCACACTTGCACCTGAAAACAGTTTATATTAGGGATTACTTTCACATTTTTCCTCCCCTTCCCAATACTCTTTGTACCATGTATGTTGGCTCATTGACTCTGGGTTGCTTGCCCTTTTTGATTATTTTGTGCTGAAAAAAGGCATTCCTTGAAGGATGTTCCCAAAGTTTCCAGGTTCAGTTTCCATGCAGTCTTTGTTATTCTTTTTGTCTGAACAAGCTTTTCAAACAATGTTCTTCTGCCCTCATGTGATTTTGTCAGCCAGAGACTAACGTGTATTACACAAGATGCTACAGGAAACCATTCTGGGAATTCAGTGCAGGATTCAGGCTTAGCAGCACTTCAGCAAAATTAGTCTTAGAATTCTGGCAACAAATTCTTGTCTCCATCTCTGTTTGCCTTCTCTCTGTAATTCACTACTGCTTACCTGTGGAAACATCTGCAAATGCCAGTTTCTGCACATGAATGTTTGCATACTGTCCAGCAGACCGAAGACACTGCAGTTTATTGCAAAAGTCTTCAAAATTAGCCTCAACTTTTCTAAGTATTTTGAATCTTCGTAGTGCTGAAGTAGTCATTGATTGGTTGTCCACAAGATGGGGCTTCTACAACAGGGATCTCTGCATCCATATTTAAGATTCTAATGCAAAAGCTATGGGTGGCACCCCAGCCAACAGAACACCGTGCTTATAAATTGTGGCACAGTAATGGTATTGACAAAAGGAATCCCACTTCACATCTCATGGGTAAAAGCATTTGCTCAGTAAATCAAAACAGCAGCAAGTGGCTTCACCTTGACCTGAACCTCTGCGTTGTGCACCAGGACAATCATCCTGCATCCTTCAGAGCTTCTTCACAAGATTTTCCACAAAAGTGTGTAGTCTGAAACACCAAATAAAGTGCCTGTTGTTCCGGGACAACATAACAAAGTCAGTATACAGCCTAATATATCACCTTCCAAAGAGGTTTGCAACATCACTTTTAGAGGATGGTACTGTGAAGATGGCAATTCCAGCAGAAGTTAGAATAACTCACTCCACAGAGTCCATAATTTCTGTAAACTTAACTGGGGGAGGGAAAAATGCTGCTGTTACGAACTAGGACTAGTCTTACAGTACCTTTTGCTCCCTTGTTTTGCTTTGTGTGAAGTGTTTACTTAATCAACACATGATTAGTTCTGCTAAAAAGCAGGCCTCAGATAAGCCAGCTTAAACAATTGAGACTTTCTATGTCTTAGAGGAATCTCCACCCAACCAAAATTAAATGGGACCATATGGCTATCCTCTCTCACTCCTTTTCATAGAACAAGAGAAATCAGGAAGACTTCCTTGATGATCATTCCTATTTTCTGTATGGTGTGATTGTTTTCCAGAGATTCTTGCAGGAATTGCAGCATTCAGACACGTCCATGCAGAGCGCCCTGCAACCCGTGGCACTTGACGATACGCACGACGGCCCCTGGTGAGCTCTGCACAGAGCTTTGCTGCTTGAGAATTCAGGGAGTACTCACAGCAAAAAGCAAAGACAGACCACCCCTGTGATTGAATTGAAGCTTAAAAGGTAATTCGAAACAGGCTTTCTGACACTGCACGCCTATTACAGCAGCCCACTACTCAAGCCACCCAAGGCCCATCATGCAGAAATACAGCAAGTCACTCCCATTCAAGCAAAACAGTCACCCTGCAGTGACTGTGACTCCTTAATACTTCGCTACTGGGAACTTCATGACCTGTTCCACTCCCCACATCTATCTACCTCCATGCTTTCTTACTGGAATTTTCTGAAGACAAAAGGCAGAGTGAGAATTAAAACATTACAGCAGTAGTACACCTGTGGTACATTATTCAAAATAAATTAAACAACACAAAACAGTTTGAAGCCTCTTGAGGTTATCTGCATATCATCTGCCTCATCTGAAGACAATACTGGGACATTTGGCCTAACCTGCTTTTCCAAAACCTTCAGTAAGTGAGATTCCCTGGTAATAACTTCCAGTGCTAAACTGCCTTTGCAGTTTGAAATAATTTCCTAATGTCTACCTTAAAGCTCTGAGTCCATTACCTCTTGCCCTAGATCTGCTGAACAGGAAGAACAAATTATTCCTTCTCTCTGCAGAAACCTTCTATATTTTTGAAGATCATTATCACTTTTCCCAACACATTCCTCTCCTTTAGACTAAACAACCCCAATTCTTTCAGTCTCTCCTCTCAGATCATGTTTTCTAGGTCTCTGATCACTCCTGCAGTTGAGCCTGTGTGTTACACTGAGGAACAAGGAAGATTGACTCCTACGCAAAATTTATATGAGCTGGGTGATGGGATTTTTTAGAAGAGGTTACCTTTGTATGGTGGTTACTTCAGTGGCTTTTGTGTGGTATATTCTTTTTAGTCTTTTTTTCTCCTTTGTGACACACAGCGTGGGTACGGCAAAGAGTACGTGGCACTCTGTGGAGATAAAACATCTTGGATTTGGGGAAATGAGTTGTTGTAAAAGGCAACTTATTTCAGTGATGGGAAACACATCCCTATCAAGCTTTATCTTTAGGATAGATTAATCTAAGTGATATTTGCGATACCAGGATTCTCTAAGTTGAAGGTTGTTTTTAGAAATGAGCAAAATGCTGCATCACAAAATGAAAGGGAAATATATCACTATTTTACTTACTTTATTATGCTGCATTTGGTCTCCCTTGAAAAACAATAAACAATTATAATATACACTGAGAGATGGCCATGGTTCAGCTAAAATAGCAACAGAACTGAAAGCAATCAAGCATTTTAGAAGACACTGTGTTCTTTAAACCCAAGCAAATTAATTCATTAATTAGGTCGTTCTCACAATCAGATTCACATGAATAATAGAAGAACATCATTTACTTCTTCAAATGTACACTTTCTTTCCCCCCCAGGAAAAAGTCCTAAAATAACGTATCTATTCACCACCATTACCTGAGCAAACAGTGCTATCTTTGAAACTTTCCATGCCACTCCATTCATCCAGAAGTTAACTGGGCTTCTATATATGAATTGATAAAATAATCTTATCCAGCAGAAAGATAAGACATAATAAGAGATGAAAAATGCTAGGAAGATTAGGCTGATGGAAGAAAAGGAAGGAAAGAACATATTCCCTGCTGATACAAAAGGTCTTTCAGAAACTTCTGGGGAGCATAAAATGTTTCCCATCAATAACACAACAATGGGTCACATAAAATTAACCAGGTCTTTTACCTCTAAACGAGGCAACTTACGATGTCAGCTTTGTAGAGAAACTGTTAAGAAGAAAGTTCCTTCAGGTCTTCAGTGTTTTCAGATTTTTAACTCCAAAAACATGCCTGGAATTTTTTGGTAAGGTAGCTCAATCTCCAGTGAGCTCCTATGAGCCTTAAGAACACACTGTTACATAATATGTCTCCTTTACTATCAAAACTCTCCAAAATAAAACATTCAATTGCACCTGTGTGATCATTTTAAGACTCAACAAGCTCAAATTTCAGAATTGTTCCTCCAACAAAGGGGGAAATTAAAAAAAAAAAACAAAAACAAAAAAAAAAAAACACAACAACAAATGAAGACTTTAGTCAAATTTCCCTACAGTTCTGCTGGAACAGGGCAAATGTACCTGCAGGTCTTCTAAAAAAAAAAAACAAAAAACAACAAAAAAAAAAGACCATGTAAAAAATTTACTTGGGAGCTTCCAAGTCTGTGCAGAACAAACAGCACAGAAATGTGTTGTTTTGGCCCATATTCACCTCTGCCATTCTGCACGTACAAAGGTCACTTGTGTGTCTACTGCCACAAAAGCAGATCCTTTCAAGCAGCCCATGAACTTAAAAATAGTATCTATAGAAAGCCAGTACTGCGAAGCTAGCCAGATCTGTTCCAGGCTTTGCAGCTTAATACTGAAAAACAGTGGGAACAGGTCATAGGGTCTCTAAAGAAAGGCTCCCACCAAACAGCTACTGAACACTAAGGACAACCAACTTCTGCTTAGAAAAGCTTTTTGACTGCTTTCTTACCCCCAAGCTGCAAAAGGAAAATAAAAGTGGTAGAAAACTAGTGGCCTCACAGTAACCCCACAGCAGGCACAGGGATACAGAAAACCCACGCTCTTTCTGCATTTGTGAACAGAAGAATTATTTCCACTCTCCATCTCCCAGATCGCTTTTCAATTTGTGACCTGATGGTGCCCAGCTGCTATTAGCCACCTACCTGACATGACAGCAGTAAATGGCCTGGAAAAACAAGTGGCTTAACTCTTCCAAGAGCTCAGTAATGACTGCTAATTGCTCTTCCTCATTTAAAGCTACTCGGCCTACATGGAGCAACAGCAACTACATGCACTGAAGCTCTGCAGAGAGAGAGAGAGAGAGAGAGAGAGAGAGAGAAATAACCTTAAACAGCACCAGGGTTAGATATTAGAAACAATTTCTTCTCAGAAAGAGTGGTGATGCACTGACACAGGCTGCCCAAGAAGGTGGTTACAGTCACCATTCCTGGGGATGTTTGAGAACCATGGAGCTGTAGGATTGAGGGGCATATTGGGCATAGGAGGTCAGGTTGGGGTTGGACTTGTGGATTAGGCCTTTTCCAACCTTAATGATTATATGATAAAAGCAGAAACAGCAGTAGAACAAAGATATCCTTCTCATTGCCTGTTACCTTGTCAGCAGTGCCACCACTGCACAGCTGAAGGACCTCCAACTGTCCCCATAACCCACCACAGGATCCTCCAGCAGCAGCTCTGACATTGCTCTCACCTTGAAGCTGCTCCTGGGAGAGGCAGTGACTCCAGCCACTGCTTACCTTCTTAATTCTCCTAGTAAGCGAGTCAACATGCTCCTGTGATAAACATCCACACCCTGTACAGTGGTCATTGTCAGTTACAGCACAATGTTGCAAAGTGTTTCCACCTCAAGCAACACTCACAACTCCAGCGCTACTTCTAGCTTCTTGGAAATACCTTTTCCAAGCCCCATAAGCAGCAGTAATATCTTCTCTGTTACTATAGATTTCACACTGAAAGCACTTAAGCCGTCTAATGACAAACAGCAAAACAAAACTCTCGCACAATAATAAAAGGAAATCCTCAAGGAGGAGCTCACGTGGGTAACAAGCAGCAGCACAGCTCCCCATCCTCCAAGCACTACAGGGCGTCTCAGAGGTCTGAACAGAGATGGTACAGCCAAAAACATGCTGCTGGGCAGCTGGCTTAGAGACAGTGAGCTCAGATGGGAGCTCTGTGCTCATCAGGCCTGACACAGATCAGCTGAGGCACTCTTGATTAAAGCTGGCCGTGCTGCATTGCTGCAGGACCTGATTTCTAGTTGCTGCTACCTGTGTTGAATTTGCCTAGGACTAGTAATGAGAAATTGATTTTTGGATATATTCAGTGGCCTGAATCTGACGGGCAGCAGGGTGCTGTGAGGATTTATACTGGAAGAAACCCTTGAATCTGCCCTGAAAAACGTGTTTGCCCCATGCTGTGTCAGCGCGGTTATGCTGGGAGAGGGGTGCTGACCTTTTGCACTGTACATACAGCTGTATTTCATTTTGAAAGCTTAATTTCTTAATGGAGAACGTGAATACCCCGTTAAATAAACGATGTATTTGCTGTAACTCTCGTCACCTCGAAGGCCTTCGGGAGCGCAGAGCGGCACGAGCAGCGCCCGCCGCCGTCTCCGCGCAGTCTCCGCGCACAGCTCCTCCCGGCCTCCGAGCACAAAGCAGGCTCTGCCGGGCCTCCACACCGAGCGGCAGCCGGGGCCCAGCGCGGGGCAAGAACTTCGGCCTCCGGCACAGCTCCGCCCCCGGGGTCAGACACCAGGCCCCTCCTGCACACCAACAGCCGCGAGGCGGGGCCGCGGGGCTTACGGCCGCTCGCTTCGGGGCCGGAGGCCGCCGGCCTCGCCTCAGCGCGCCGGGGCGGGCACGGCTCCCGTCCGCCGAGCGCGGTGCCGCCGGGCCCTGCGTGCGCGATCCCGGCGGGGCGGAGTGAGAGGAGGAGCCGGGGCGGCCTGCGCGACAAAGCCCAGTGCGCAGAAAGCCGGTGACCGGGAAGCGGAACGGTGCCGGGCTGCCGCGGGGCGGGCGGACCCCACCTGAGCCCCGCTGCTCCACCGCTCCTGGGCGGGAGCCGAGCCCAGCCCGGTCCCGCCGCCCTACGGCTCGGGGCGGAGAGCGGGCGGCGCGAGGAGGCGGCCGCGCTGCCGCTAAGCCGCTTAGGGCCGGGCTGGCTGGCATGAGCCTCCCCGGCGGGGCGGCTGCGGGCTGCGCGCTGCGCGGCGGCTGAGGGTGCGGAGCCCTCCGTCGTGAGGAGGGGAGGAGGCGGAGGGGACGTTCCGCTCCTCGGGGGGGAGGAAAATGGGGAACTGCCTCAAGTCCCCCACCTCGGATGACATCTCGCTGCTCCACGAGTCCCAATCGGACCGGGCCAGCTACGGGGACGGGGCCGAGCCGGATCAGGAGCCGCCGCCGCCATATCAGGTACGGGAGGGGGCGGGGAGCGACGCGGCGTAGCCCGAGGGGACGGGGACGGAGAGCGGCCCGGACGGGGGGGCGGGGAAGAGCCCGGAGGAGCCCCCGGAGCGCTGCGCTGCGCCCGGCCCCGCGGGGCACCGAGCGGAGGGTCCCGGCCGCGGCGCGAGGAGCGCCGCTTTGTTTCCCCGGTCTCGGCGCGGGGTCGCGCGGACCGTGGTGGATACGAAGCCGGAGACGGCGGAGGGGGTCAGGGTCCGCCCCGGGGTCGGAGCCGCCGCGGTCGTCTCCGGATTTGGGTTGAAAACAGAAGGGGAAGGCGCCGAGTTTCCAGCCGTGCCGCTTCCTTTGTTGTTGTCGCGCGGTGACATCACTGTCTGTGCCGCTCTCGGTGCTCCGGAGGCCGCGCGCTCGGCGATGCCCGGCTTTGTCTGCGGCGCTCCGGCAGCGGCTGAACCGGAGTAACTTTTGTGCTGCCGGAGATGCTGTTTCTTTCAGCTGCGTGGGGTTCCAGGAAGGGCTGTTTGGTCTTCTGTCTGCAGGGGATATGTAAATTTACGTTTGATGACGGGCTGGGGAAAAACGCCGGGTGCTCTGTCACGTCCTCGCAGCCGTGGGGTCCCGGCGCGGCCCAGTCCTGAGCTCTGCGCTGTGGTGGCCCCTGAAAGGAGGGCACGGAACTCAGGGCTGCGTTTGTCCCCTGCTTCGTCTCCATCCCCGAAGAGGAAACGTATGTGGCTCTGAGCAGGACATGAGCCCTGTCTGAAGGGATCTGTGACAGTGACAGGCTCAGATAAATCCTGCGGAGTGGCCTGAGCGCTCCTTAGGGAGGGAGTCATGCAGGAGTTGCAGACCTTAATGTACAATTAACAAAACTGCAGAAAGTATTTAGCAGGGCAGACGCGTAACCTGTGATACTCAACAATCAGAGAAACACCAGCTGTGACAGGAGGTCCCTGGGTTGTTCAGGAGGAGACACAGGCACAGCAGCCTTTGGTGGTGCAGTGGAACCATGCTGGGACTGCTGGGCTGTGCAGAACTGCTCGCTTTGTGTGAGTACTTAATGACAGAACACATTTCCTGAGATGGGTTATTATTTTTTTTTTTTTCTGACTTCTTAGCAGAGTCTGCACAAGTCCATTAAATGAAAATGCTTGGTGTCAAGGTTTTCGAAAGGTGATGTTCTAAGCCAATCCTAATTGTCCCTTCTTTGGGACAACTGTGTGTCCCAATTGTTTGGGAATGCACTGTATTCTTGCTGTAACATACTTATTACTGTCTGTGCTGGTGGCTGTATTCACAGCTGTGCTTTCTGGGAAGACTTTGGTTGCTTGTTGTTTTTTTTGCCGTGGAAAACAACCTGTTGGCTCTTGCAGGAGTTGAGAAATCGCACTGTGCAGGCCTTCTCCTGTCGACTTCAGTGGTGGATAAGTACTCTTCCTCAGTTGCTCGTGCTTTTTTTAAAAATTCTAAACGAAGAACTTCTTGTACGTAAGTGTGAATGGTTGACTGAGAGCACAGTAGACAGTAAAATAAGCAAACTTGCAGACACTTGTTACTGTGTGAGTTCATAGCAAAACTCCCCAGTGTGTGGTGGTGTGCATGCAGGCATTCAGCCGTCCCAAACCCCATGCGCTGATCTCAGCAGTTCCCACACACTCACTGTAAGGGGTGTTCTGTCATATAGTCAAAAAGTGCAGTGGTTTGTGATGACAAAAGACCTTCACCTTCATACTGTGCAGTATTTCACAGTTCACATGCTTTGAGGTTGAAGGAGTTTGTAACTTTGAATTGTTTTAGGGCCAAAAGATGCGCAAGTTAAGCACTGAATTGGGGAGCTCCTGGAGCTCCATTATTGCTGTAGTGGCAGCAGGATGTCATGGTCTCATTTTAAGTTCCAGATCACAGCTCATGTTCACTGTTAGAAAGGGAAACGTAGGTTTTTTGTCCTTATGCGTGATAAATACTTTCCAAAATGTTTGAATGAGAATTAGTGTGTGTGAGAACACGCAGACCTGCAGAGAATGGAAAGCAAGGAAGAGGATGAAGTAAGTTTGATATGATAACTTGTTTGTGGCATCTAGCGCTGTGCACGAGGAGCTGTGGATGATTAACAACGTAAAATCGAGCTGCTGGAACCTCAGCCATAAAATGGCCACATTTGGGTTTGCTTCCTTTGGGTTTGCAGCAACGATGTGCAAACTTCCTGAGCCGCTCTTGCAAGGTATGCAAACAAGCAGAGCAAAGGAAGCTTGCTGGGCTAGGTGCAGCCTTGTAGACAAGGTCTTGCGTGTCTCTTTGAGCTAATGTCTGTGCTATCTTGATGTTCAAAATACTTTCTGTGTTTTGGCATGCTTGTGCTGTGGGTGTCCATATGGGAATCTGGTTAAGTAATCATTTTTAATGTGTTCACTTGTAACTGCAAAATATGCACCCAATAATCTCTTTATTGTTGCATGCTGATTTCCTTTTTATCAGTGAGTGGTACTGAACCTGCTGTATAAAATTCCCTGCTTCTAAAAGTTGAACTGAAAATTGGATCGTCAGTACAGACACATGGAATAATGAGGAATATACCTTCCCTTCAGAGGCTCTGCATATACCTGCCCCTTGTCAATGTGCTGTAAGCTACATGGGATAGCTTAAACAGCTATCCAAACTCATGAAAAATTGGTCCATTAAAACAGCAGCTGTTTTCCAGTGCATCAAGCTTAAGGGCTAACATGGGACATAATTAAAACACACAGAGAAAAGCGTGTGTTTGTGTGTGGGGAAGGAAGTTGTACTGACAGTTGACCAGCATTTTCGTAGGCATGCTGGTTTTGGCTGCCTCCATTTTAGACTCCTGAAATTACAACTGTTTTTCCAAGTGCTGAGCACATGCAACTCCATTACTAACTAGTGAATCTGCTTAGGAAAGAGTTAGTGTTTTTTTTCTTTTTTCTTTTTCTTTTTTTTTTCTTTCTTTCTCCTGAAGTCCTCAAAATTGAGTGTACTTTCAGGCTCATTTTTCTGTTCCACCTTTGACTATTTTGCCATCTGTTGGCAATATGCCTTCTGCTGCTTTGTCTGCAGAACTCTGTTTTTACCCAGTTTCTCTTGCCTCTAGTAGTTCTTTGCAACGATGTTATTTTGCAGAACAGATGTGCCACTCCTCTCAGCCCTTGTCTCGTATTTCTCTTCTTCAGTAATTCCTTAACAGCTGCAGAAAATACTTTCTGAATTTACCAAACTTTGAATTTTATTCAGTGAAGTCTGGAATCCATCTTTTCTTCTTGGGTTTCTTAAAGGTAGTGCTGTGAACAATACATGCTGAGATCTTTTTAAAAAGACATACAACACTGGCTGAACAAGTAAGCTACAAGTGTGACAAGCGCCTGTTCTCAGCATCGACCCTGTGCTCAGTGGAGCACATTTGAAACGTTGATGTGGAGGACAGGCTGGTGAAATATGTTCTTCCTTTATCTGGGAAGACCTGAAGCCAGCTCTGGTGCTCTGTACCGCCCTGTTTGTCTTCAGGGCCCTGATACAGTATTTCAGTAGATATATATATATATTTTTTTTTTTAATTTTGTTTTTTATTTGAAGGCAGCATTTAAAACCTTCCGACCTGGGTAGTTGCTTGATTAGGTAGCAGGCACAAAATGAGGTGAGAGATCACAGACATGAGCTGAAGACAACGCAGTGTGCCCATAAACTTGCAAAAGCTGTTGGCAGCAGCAGGTTTTGAAAATGCAATTTGGGATATCTTGTGGCTTCTTTTAAATTGAAGTTGCAGCAATGGCCTCCTCCAGCCTGCTCTGTGGGCATCGTTGGTGTTCAATGTGCTCTTGTCCTGATCCGTCTGTGCTGCTGGGCTTCCTTCTGCCTGTGCCTGGATCTCTGTGCAGTGCCCTGCTGGTCCTGCAGCCTTGGTGGAGTGTTCCTTACGTGAGAAAGTCCTCTGTTTGAACAGTCATTGGCTGTCCTTGATATAGTCTGCTGCATTTGTGTGAGACTTGCCACCGTGTATGTGCGTGTTGGGTGTATTTTGCTCAACAGACCACAAAGTTTTTATGATTGCCTTGTCATGACTTATGTTATGACTTAACTAATACACAGGTGTTCTGATGCTGTCCTCTCAAAGGTATGGTAATTGATATGGTTAAATGTTGCAATCCCAATTCATTCTGTTATAGCAATTGCACCTATTCACAGAAATGTGTGCAAAATGCTCTTGGGCCACAGATGAGCTATTTGTCATCAGTGATGACATATATTTTGTGAGAGCAATCCCAGCGGCGTAACGTTCTGCTCTCTGTGTGGCTGAGTGAAGCCGGAACTGTTGGGGTATGTTGGGACAGTGTAAGAGGAGGAAAGTTGCAGTGAGAAAGATGCTGCATGCTGAGTGCTGCGAGCCATGGGAAGAGCAAAACCAAGGCCCAAACCAACTATAGCCATTCTATGTAAGAGAAATGAGTGTATTAACAATTGCACATGCAGGTCTTGTCCTTCATGTTGTGCTGGAGGCATGCATGCATTGCAGTTGCATTTGTGGATCTGAACTGAAATAGTGCTTCACCTCACTGCTCCTCTTTGTGATGGAACTGGGAAAGGGCTGCAGGCAAGAGTGTCTGTTTGTGTGGGGCCTTCTGGCACCATGCGCACGGGTGGTGATCAGCTTCAGCGAAAAGAGGAAGTGAAGTTTTCTGGGGTGCCATATGTAAATTCCTTTGTAGGTAATAGTTACTTTAAAAAAAAAAAAAGTGCACCTGTATTTGCTGTCTTAATGCATGTTGGTTGTGGCATCAAGCTGGCTGGTTGGTGCTGGCTTCACCTTGTTGGTGAAAAAAGCTGCTGAAAGGAGGGGAAGGAAGAGGAGCCTGTAGATAAAGGATACCAGATAGTGTCTTAAAGGTAGGCAACTTTTATGGCATAATATTGAAGTTACCCTGTTATAAATTGTTCTTTATGAATTTTGGCTGAATATTGGAATTCCTTCCTGTTGAGTCAGCAATGGGTGAAGACCT